CTTACATGCTTCACTAAGTAAGTAAGCTGCGTTTGTTCCTATGACAAATATTTTCGAAATATGCTCACAGTTATTACCATAATGCCCTTTGCGTAGAGGTTGTTTGAAGAAAGTGCCATTGTGCGATTATTTTGTATACTTTTTTGAAAAACTTTTCATCTCCTTGCACATGCACTAGTTTCACAGGAAAAAGGGTCTTCAACATGCCGAGGCAGTGTATATCGCGTAGATCTCTTTTGAGAAGAGATTCTCTTTCTACACAAGTTGTCTGTACATCAAATTCTCTTATTCTTGCATGGATCTTCAACTCGGTGCTCTCATATGCTTTTGCTGCTTCCCATGGTCGATCTCCGTATATCATTTTCTGGGGAAACATTCTTGGTCTCATAAGGTCCATATTTTTGCAGAATTAGTTTTCTCGATGAAACTGCCATGAATCATGTAAATACAGGACTTTTCCTGCTCCAGTTGCCTTGCTCGGTAATCATGCTATTGAAAAATATTAGTGGTACAACTATTCTCATCTGTACTAAAGGCACAGAAAATTCTAGAGTCGAGGAGTTGCCAAAAATTTCTAGCCGACCAGCTGCTCTTCTGCTGCTTTGAAATCTGAGCTGTCCTCACCAAAACAGAAGTCCTGAAACCCATCTTAATTTTCCGCAACTGCTTAGTCAACTTCGACGGGGAGAATTTTCTCGAAATTCCACAAAATGAACCATAAATCTTCTGCAAGCCTTGGTAGCCGGCACGTAAGCTCTCACTGACCCCCGCTGAGTTGGCGACAATTGGCAGGCTGTCAATTAGCAGCAACTGCGCGGACCTGTCTGACCCGAATTCACTGTCACGACCTGAGGAAGACACTTATGCAGGAAGGATTTGAACCCAAATTATTCCTGTCTACTGGCTTCTTTTGTTTTCGCCGTAATTATGAGTCGATTTGTTTTTTTTAGCAATCTGGCCAAATATCATTAACTTCTGTGTTGCTGCTATCAAGAGTATTAGGTTGATACATAAGTCAAGTTTGGGAAATTTTGGGAAGTTCATAGTTTTGCCATCGGTGAGTTTTTTTTTTATTACTTCGGCTTACACAAGATATAGGTTTTAGGCTTTCTAGAAGGAAGCATATTCTCTTACCATATCGCAACGATACAGGCTGATAATGTAATGCATTCAGAAAGTGTCATTCTTCTCGCTAAAATTGTAAAACTTTTACTGTATTATCATTTGAGCTGCTTCTCTATAACATACTTTTTCTGTATGATAGTAAATTCGTAAGATTTAGCTTTTCTACAAATAGTTTAGATTTAATTCCTTTTCCTTTAGCTTCTCACTTTCGAGTCGGGAAAATCTTTGATATTTATGACAAGATTCACATTTGGTATATGTATTAGGTTGGTGCAAAAGTAATGCGCGTTTTTCTAGCCCTTGGTTTAGGACAACTTTCTCCACCAAACTTTCTTCTTTGAAAAAAACTTAGCACATTTTCAAGAAGCTCCTTTTATCCTCTATCCAGTGATGGTTAGAACGAGCTTCTAGCTTCATCAGTTAAAAAATAAGAGAGCTTCACACAGCCGCACTCAAAACCAGAATTTCATTGCATTTACTTCTCTGGCCAAAAATCAAGCCCGAATAAAGGCAACTTTTCGAAACTTTAGCTAATATATTAAGTGGAAATTGTCTACATTATGCACATTTTCTATTTTCTCAGAAATTTTCTAGGCTAAGATTTCGGCTCCTCAACATGGGCAGTCGTTTTGATCATTCTTTGATCCATAAATTTCCTTTGAAGAGGGCAATCACCAAACCTTTGCTCATTTCTGTAAGCGTAAGGATGGGCCTCCTATTGGCAGTTTCTACAGAATTGTGTACGTGTTCATCACGCAGAAATCCAAAAGAATTCCATATTTTGGGGTTTTTACGTCTGCGAGAAAATGTCCAAAAAAGCGGGCAATTTTGGTTTTGAATTTTTTTCCTTTTCGCAAATTCTCTCTGTTTGGCCGTTTTCCACTTTTTTGTACTACAGGCTTCCGGCTACAAAATAGGCTACTTGTTATCTATATTGACATATTCTGAAGAAAGCTATGATCAGTTAAATTTGAAGTTTCAGAAAAGAACTTTTTCTGCTTATCAGTCCATATTTTTCTGCCCGTTGGAGATATGAGTATAGGGAGATGTGCGCTGTATTGCGAAAGGTTTGCTGCCTCTAATGTTTTTTACCGCCTTGGAAAATGTAAATTTTTTAGAAAGTTATAACACGTCAAATTGAGAACTAGCAAAACGCGCATTACTTTTGCACCAACCTAATATATTAGGTCGGTCCGAAAGTTCTGTCATTTCATTTTTGGAAATTTGTAACTCTGCGCTATCCCAGTGGATTTGCATCGTTGTAATTTTGTTTGAAAGCATAAGTCTTTCGCTTTCGAATACAGTCTTTATTAGCTTCTATCGCACACTGACTGCAGAGATAAAAATGAAAAAGTAAGACCAACTAAGCTTTGCTCATTTTAAGTTAGGTCGCCATAAATTTAAAACGCCACAGAAAAATCTAAAAAGTCCAATATATAAGTTTTTTGACCCACACTTTATAACTGTGAAAAGACTGTGCTGTTTGAACGCCTCTGAGAGAAGTTTTGAATTTCGAGTTAACTCAGAAAACGCCAAAATTAATTAATTTGTCACTTTTTCCGAAATTCATAACTTCTCTCAGAGACGTTCAAACAGCACAGTCTTTTCACAGTTGTAAAGTGTGGGTCAAAGTACTTATATACTGAACTTTTCAGATTTTTCTGTAGCGTTTCAAATTTATGGCGACCTAACTTAAAATGAGCAAAACTTAGTTGGTCTTACTTTTTCATTTTTATCTCTGCAGTCAGTGTGCGATAGAAGCTAATAAAGACTGTATTTGAAAGCGAAAGACTTATGCTTTCAAACAAAATTACAACGATGCAAATCCATTGGGATAGCGCAGAGTTACAAATTTCCAAAAATGAAACGACAGAACTTTCGGACCGACCTAATATGTTGCAGGAAGTAGATGATGTGCACAAAAAATTATTTGAACATTTTCAAAACGTAATCTTTGTTTTTTCTACGAAAATATCATCACACGAGATCAACTGAATTGACTACCACTATCGTTTTTGCTTAGGTAACCTCTATAGCTACCATTCACTTTCCATGGTAAATTTTGCGGGAAACTTGCGATGTAAATTGACCAGGCTTGGATGGGAAATCTTTCTTTCCGTCAGCGATTATTCATCTGACAACGTGTTTCCGTAATCTAAATTCAAACGGTTCAGAAGATGCATACTTTGGAGTCTCGACTCAAAACACTCGGCGTTCACTAAGATTTTAGTCAAAAAGATGATTGAGGCGTGTATTTGATTTTTTGCAGTAACTGTGGTAATGCGTTACCCAGGAATTGTACTGTTGATTATTCTAAGGATTATTCTCGGGCTCGATTATTCTATGGAAAACCTTTTGCTGTAGATGACTTAGGGATTTCATTCCCTAAATCATCTACAGAAAAAGGTTTTCTTCAGAATAATCAGAACGTCTACAATTGCTAGTCCCATATGTGCTAATCCTCTAAATTCATCAGGCTTGCTTCATAGAATCTTTGTAGGGCCTAGTAATCCGGTTATACGCCCTAACCAGATGGACATGAATGTTTCACTAATCGGCTAACACTAGTACTCATTCATTTTGTTAACAATGATCTGTTAGTAATTAGTGATTAAATCGTCAAATAGTAAACTAGTAATAAATTTGAAATGATAATACTTCTATAGTGTAGTCCTAGTTAAAATCAAAGAGATTTAGATATTTTTCTAGAACACTAAATTATGTTACTCCGTTTTGTTTAGTTTGTTAATTCGAACCAATATCTTCATTCCTGTGTTTCCTTTGGTTTGATGCAAGTTTGGACTGGGTGATTTTCTCATTATACCACGACATAGGAGTATCCATTTGATTTGTGTTCCTGTGCTGACGCACAAAGGAAATCTGAGAACGAATATTAGATAAATGATAGCATATTCTGCATTCTATGAAGACAAATGTTCGTCTTTCATGACATCTATTTCTATGGAGCACACATTTCATCGTCAAAGTAATTCATAAGTCGGAAAACTAGTAAATCGTTTCTGTGCTTTTATCTTACGTTCTTTGAGTCATCAACTACATCTGCGGAAATTGACGTAGTGAACAACGATTTTTTAATTTTTTTATGAGAGATTTTCTCGCGAAGCTGTAAGCAGCAGTACTCCAAGCTAACCCAAATCTCCATGCCCGACATCCTTCTATCTCTATAATTTGATTTATAGATTTCGAGAGTGCATTTCCGCATCTGACTAGTATTCAGCTAAATTGCTGGCATATTTCCCAGTTCCTGCTTTTCTGTTTCGTTAGCTTGCTATTCGACCGACTAATTTTTAGATCGTAAAGCAATGATAATGAATATTGATAACGTTCACACTGAATCTCGTTCTCGGTTCAGGCAATTATGTTCTTTAGGTTTGCTGAAAGTCTTTCAATCTTAGCTATGGTTGTACACTGAATTTTTTGAGCTAGGGATCAAAAATTGCACGGAAAGCAGCGAAGGAAATTATAAGATATCTGGTGTTCTTTGACAAATGAAACTCTATATATTTGTCGGAAGCACTTTGAATAAACGCACTTACAGCTATTATTCTTTTCCGCTTTGACAGCAAGATAAATGTTAGAGCTAAAGGAGAACTTTGTAACTCGTTAGATCAACTGCACTTGTCAGTTGCACGACTCTCGCTGACTGTCATATTACATCGAAACATTTCTTTTCTACTCGTGCTTTCTGTGCTCTTCACTCATGATCGCACTGCCCCAGTCACCATGACTGATCTTTAGATTGCTTTGCATAATCTGTATTTTTTGTTATACTCTTGATGCCCTCGTTCCAATCTTTGTCAGCTTGCCCTATAACCACCCGCTCTTTTTCTAAATAGCTCAAAATCGAATTTTTAGCTTCCTGTAATATTTCCTTATCTCTGTAAAAATGTTTGGATAAGCTGCTATGAAGAGCGAACTACGGAATGGGGATTCGCCGTGGCTGCCTGCCAAAAGGTGACAATAAACTCATCAGTAAATCTCTACGAGATGGCCATTTCATTATGCGAGAGTGAGGATGCGACCGCTCCTAATGTAACTCTTGATGTGTCTGCCACATTTGACTTAATCCGATGAGAACTGCCGGGTGTCGAAGGCAACGATTAGCTGAACCGGTGGTAGAAATGCTGTCTAGGGTGTGTATGCGCATTCAAACTGGGTATGAGCACCGAAGGCTTTTCAATCAGCTGCTATGAGATTGTTTTACTTGTATCGCGTCCATGTCTCCAAATGATCTTCATAGTAGTCAGGGAATATCAAGTATTTACCATCTGAATAAGATTGAAATGTGACGTATCTCTTGCATTTTATGACTAAACACATATCGTACTAGAGGGTACAAATTTTGAAAGAATATGGGTAGGGATGTATTTAGCAAAATCTTGTTCCCTAGGCTCTCAAACGAAATCAGTTTGATGGTTCAGTGAGCCAATCTTATGGTTCGTATTTGGTCGCGACAAACAACTCCTAGTTCCTACTGTATTCTTTTTGAGCAGAACGGTCATTCCCACATTAAGTTGATTAGTCTGCTTTGACAGGGTACGGTCTGGAGGAATTCAGGGTTGAACTTTTCGGTCTTTAACAAAACAGTGAGCTGCCGCATGGGCAATGGCTTAACTAAGGCCTCCCAATTACCTTCCGGATAAAATGTCCAGTTACTCAGGATTGGCTGGGCAGGTGATGAGGCTTATATAAAACGCAGTTCTAAATGGTTTATGAAAAATATTGTTTGGTTGTAAAACGACTTCACCAGTCCCCTAATTTAGGTCGTGCCTCGGTCGTCTGTCGTCGTTAGAGGTATTTCTGTTCGTACTCGTCTTATTGTTATTGCTCGTTCTTGGAGCAGTATTGTTTTGTTGGTTAATTTTGCTTGAGGGATACCGAACGTTTAACGAAGGTTGGTTCAGTTTGCTTCCTTCGATTTTTTACCCGTTCAACACTATTCCATTCTATAACAGCTGTACGATGATTGTTTTTCATTCGTGTAGAACATCGCCCTCTTACTCCCCCCCCCCCTCTCCCTCCAATAGTCCTTCATACCCTTTCTTGCAAAATTTGCATCTTCTTGATTATATAGAATTGGGAAATGCAAAGAAAAATCAGTGCGGCGCCATTTTTCAAGAATCACCGGCCAATGTGCGCAAATCAATTTCTTCAGCATTACTTCCACGTCTAGATCATTTATCTTTCAGGTCTCCCGTTCTATGCAGCCTCGTTCGAGAACTCATCCGTTGGGGTGGATCGGTCGGCGACGAATCACAACGGTGTTGTGTGCACATCACGAGAGTGCGTTACGATAGCCGGATTTTTGGCTGGCAATCTCAATGATAAGGTAGTTTCTCATTAAAAGTTACGTAATCAGGTTTCTGTTTGTTCGTCCCACCCACCACTTTTGAGCTTATGCTCTAATTTTGGTCGCTTATGTAGTTGAAGCTTATTCTAGTTTTATTTGAAATTTTATTCGTCGCTAAAAGAACAATCCATGAGAGTGTTGGGGCAAAACATGAGTGGTAAGTGATAGCATACTGTTAACTGTGAAGCCGAAGATTGCGGTTTTTGCTTCTTCACAGCGTGTACATTGTGTGGATACAAAGAAGAAATAATTTAGAAGAAAGGACCTGAAAGAAATAGTCACGGCCACGTGCCAGATGGCAAGATTTATTGCAAGATCTTGGGCTAGTCATTTCCGGCACACGAGAACATTTGTGGACACTGTCTTTGAAGGCAATATCGAGGATGTTAGGGTTTTGCTCATTAGGGAAATCAGGAAATTTGGATTCGCTTTTTGAGGTGGGACCAGGGTCAAGCGTGGGGTGTGGCATGCCACACCTGAAGGGTTTTATTGAGGGGCCGGAAAGGGGGGTGGGAGTCGTCATCGAGGTGAGCTGATGTTAGCGACAACATGATATTCGTTAACAATGTCAGATAGGCACTGTGTAAAGTACTAGCACATTGATGTTTTGGCCTATCATCGTATACGTACAGTAAGCGTTATGAAAGGTTCATTTTTGTAACTATGTCAAATAACTCCTGTGGTCAAATTTCAGCGAATTCTGAGATTTCCAAATATTGGGCCATCAAAGTGAATAGTCATTTTCAAACATGTTACCTTTTTAAGGTGATTCAAGTATTTCCTTCTGCGCTTCACACAAAGAACTGCTACTTCTTTGCCCACATTGTGAATCCCACTTCGAATAACATTCAAACTATGGAATTACGAGCAAGCCAAAATCTCATTTGTTCTATTTTCCGCTTTCAATATCTCAGATTAGAGAGGACCAGCCAGGCTCAAATCACATTTATCTAAATTATGAGGCTCAGTCTATCAAATAAATTTATCTTTGTCGCCTTCTTTCGCGATTTACATAGTAGCGCAGACTAGCATGTTACCGTAGCCCAATATTTTCGCAGCATTTTCCATTTGCATAGGTAAGGGAAACGACTACATCTTTCCCTAGAAGGCATGATTTCAAATGATTTTTCTATTGTGTAAAGAAGAAGATTGAGCGATAGCAACCATGTAAAAAATTCAGAGATTCGAATGGTTTAAAGGTATGTTAATGAGGTGTGGCACAATCCCTAAAAAGCTGCGGCCGCCGCAGCTTTTTAGGGGTTGTGTCATATCCCATTAACTTACCTTCAAAGAGAATTTTAAGAAACAGATTAGGTGCAGTTCGATAGCAAAAATCTTGTAGTGTTTATAGAAGTGATTAGAGCTGAATTTGTTTTCTTTCGTTTAAGCAATAATTGCTGGAAGCACAACCACTGCAAGCGAAAAATAAACAAACGGGATTTTGGCTGGCTCCTAATTCCATTGTTTGATGGTTATTTGAACCAGAATTCATGGTATAGGCTAATAGGGAGTAGTGCTTCATCTTGAGTGGAAGAAGAGGTAGGAGCTAATTCGCTTTTGAAACATAGATAATCATGTTTGAAAGTGGGCACTTGGGTGGCCCAATATTGGGAACCACATTTTTCGCTAAAACTTGACCCATAGGGATTCTCTAACATGGTAATCACAATAATGTTACTAATTATGCCAAGTAAAGCTTTATGTCATGCTTACAGCAGGCAAACGAAAATGGTGGGGGGGGGGGGAGGAATATCGAGGCAGAACTTAGAGAGGGGGGGGGGGGTCGTATCCGGCGGTTGTGTGCCACATCTCTTGCTCGACCCTGTATGGGACACATATTCGGAATCAGCTTCGAACGCTGATTCCAAATATGCTATTTCTAGCTGCGGCGCATCATTCTGAAGCGAGTTAATGATCTTTTTATGTGCGAACTAGATGGCATACCCGGCTCCGCCCGGGGCCAAACTTTGCACACATACACTTCGGGGCAGGGAGCGTGTCATAGTCCACTTTTCGTTATCGATCGATGTCGATTTCACCGATTTTTTGCAAGTTTTGAGCTAGGGGGCTAACAAAAAGTAGCCTATGACACGCTCCCTGCCTCGAAGTATATGTGTGCCAAGTTTGGTCCAAATCGGTTCAGAAATAAAAATTTCTATTCCGCACATACGTACAGACAGACAGACATACAGACAGACAGACACACATTCAGCTTTATATATAAGATTTGGCGTATCGCTTGACATGGAAAGAATGCCTATAGTATAAATCTACCCGGAAAATGTGCTGCTGTATAAGAATAAGAACAGATTGAATTTGTTTTTTTTAACAAAGAACTTAGCAAAGTGTATTGGCACTCAAATGTTAGTACAGTAATTCCAGTAGATCAGATGAGCAACCAATTTTAGCACTCGCTTCAGAAAAATGTGCCGCTTAGGAATAGCATACTTGGAATCAGCGTCCGAAGACGATTCCAAATATATGTGTCTTTTCAGAACGCAAATCTAAGTTACCTGACTTCCCTTATCAGGTAAATGGAGGAGCCTAAACTTATGTTCAGAATATGAAAAAAAAAAGTGCGCACTGAACCCTGTCGATGGAGTCGCACTCATCATGAAATCTTACCTGCTCCACAGGAAAGGCAAAAAAATGAGATACTGCTGAGGCGCATTTAAAAGGTAGTGGAGCAATTGCGAACCAAGTTTTTGCTTTTTCCGATCTTTATTTGTACAAACCAGAAACGGACCATACTGTCTCCACGTTTGCCTAGGCGCTGTCTTCAGAGGTAGTGGCGACAAACGGAGCCCTATCAGGTTTTGATGGTACTATGTAATAGACGCTCTAAGTGCACCGTAGCCCCAAACCCACCTGCCACTTCATGCGCTGAATCCTAAAAGCGCTCTTCAGAAGCCAATAACTGATACCAGTCGATTACCCTTATGTAACGACACTATCCTCTGTCCTTTTTCCCGCTATGTTTTTTTAGAGCCGTAACTAATCTCTTTGGCAAGAACGCTTTATTACTCAGTGCACAAATACTAGCAATATCGTAAAAGTTTCTGGATTGGCTCTATCCACTTTCAATGTCGCTTTCGCTATATTGTGATCTGCTTCTACTGTACCTACTTTCCGTCATTTCCGATCTCTAAATAATCGCGCATAGACTGGAACTATCCAGAACAGACAACTCAACTCTTCTCTCTTCTTCTTTTACAATTCGTCTATCTATGTAGCAAACTGCTGCACAAATGAAAAACACCATAACAAAAAATGCTGCTGCAGTAATCAAAAAGACGGCTGGGATGTTTCCAAACTGTATCGGTTCCGGTTTTGCAAGCATCATTCAAGTTTTGAAATTTCTGAAAAAGTTCCTGTTCGTAAGCAAGTTCAATGCAAGGCTCCATTACATTTAGCACCGGCAAAGTTGGGTTTTTGAATGAAAGAACACGCCAGCTTACAGCAGTGCTGTTTTAAAAATGAACTCTGTAAAGCAAGTAGACAAATTTATGAATTCGAACAACAAATACCTAACTAGTTTTCATGAGAATGGCCGTCCTTTCCATGCATTTCATGTGAAAGGAATAGCTCACCGGCTTACCTTATTTGTCACTATGACTAACAACTGAATCTCTTTAGCGTCAGTTCAGGTGGATCCGTGTGATGATTTCTACGAATTCGCTTGCGGTAACTATGGCCTCAACAGGAACCTACCCGCTAGTAAACCACTACGACATACGATTAGCGATGTTCAAAGTAGGCTCAACAAACAAGTGAAGAGCATATTGCAGGTAGGTGACGGTGGTAGAAAAATAGCTCGTCACTCACAGTAGAAAAAATGACAAAGGCACTAACAGTGAGGAGTGTGTGGTTTATCGAATGGTATCTGCTACAGTTAGTCTCGAACAAGTAAATAAGTCTTAAGTAGTTTGGCAGTGTTACCCAATTTGTGTAAAGCATGAGGAGACACCACGGGCTACCGTAATCCCAGTAAAACGACAGCGTGGCGCCTGAGACGGAACTTTTACTTGACTTTTTGAGCCCTCCTAAAGGCATAAATATTGCTAGAACACAAACATGTCTGCGATTTCAGATGCCGATCTTGGACAGTGAGTCGAAATGGGACCGGCTTGCCAAAGGCTACTACCAGAAGTGCCTAGATGAAGGTGGGAAACAACAAAAAAATCATGTCGTACTGATTGCTCTGATTTTAATCATACAGAGTGTTCCAAAAAATGTGCCTACTGTTTGATTGTGAATAACTCTCTTGTAATAAAGCGTTTCGGGAAGCTTCAGGTACCATTTTGTAGAGCGAGGTTAAACTTAGATAGTATGGAGCGAATCATCTATCGCTCTTCATTACTGTAGGATTACGGTACGAAATTCGACAAAGATTTTAGGCCATTGGAGGCTATATTCTGCCTCGGACCAAAGCCAAACAAGCCAAAAACTCTCATACTATGGTAATAAGAGCAGCTTTTCGAATTTGAAATCCCCATTTTACTGTGATGCTTCTTTTCAGAGTTATACCCGGTAAATCGTAATAACTCTTCCCAGCATTTGTCGGAAATGTAATTACCTTCAAAAAAGCTGAAAACACTCGTAAAAAGTTGTCAGCTGGAATCAGCATGTGAGAAAACCCTAGTACACGATTTTTCAAATTTTTTGAAGAGAATTTCGTTAGGTGGTATATTTCACATTGGTCTCATATGCCGGAAGTTCGTACCGTAATTTTACAGTAATGAAAAGCGGTAGATGATTCGCGCCATACCGTAAATCTAAGTTTAACCTCGCTCTACAAAACGGTACCTGAAGCTTCTCGAAACACTTCATTACAAGAGAGTTATCTACAATCAAACAGTAGGCACATTTTTGGGACACCCTGTATATCCAGAGCAACACTTTAGAGTCTTTGTGAATAACTTGAAGTTAATAACCCCTCATTTTTAGAAGAGCTAGAAAAGACGGGGTTGATAGCCATCAAAGATATAGTGGATCGAGTAGGAGGATGGCCAGTTCTGGAGGGTAAGTGATATGTGGTGCTAGTGCAACATCCTTGAGAGGAACATCAGAAAGTTATAGTGAAGATCACTCTAATTAATGAACAATTTAGGAGAAAAATGGAAAGAATGGAACTATACCTGGGAAGAACAATTAGCTCTAGTCATGAATAAAAGCGGTCTAAATGCTGTCATACTTGAATTGGCTGTCACTCATGATCCATCCAACAGTTCCAATAGCGTTATTGAGGTACCAGAAATCCCCAATATTTTTTTTATATGAGTTCACATTGATGATTTTGAATCAGATTGACCAGCCTAAATGGGGAGTCGGATCTCGATGGCCGTATTTGATGGGGCCCAACGATCCAATGCTGAAGAATTACACGCATCTGATGACTGTGACGGCTAAAGCTTTGGGTAAGTGGCGCAGTGAGTAAAATGTTTTGGCTGAAATTTACTTTACCGAAATATAACTGCATTCGTATACAGCATAGCTCATAGTTTACTTCCGATTGATACAAGGTAATTGTTGATTTATTTAACTGCAGGGGCAGAACCAAAACTAGCTGAGCGAGAGATGTATGAAGCTATGGAGCTTGAGCTAAAATTGGTGAACTTCTCCGCTGATGACATGGTCCGACGAGATCCAGACAGAGGAAATAATCGCTTCCAACTTTGGCAGCTGAAAACTCAATTCCCTTTGGTAAGTCAGTTTTTTATCGCTCGAGAACATTCGGGGATTTACTAACTTCAAGCTTAATTGTGAAGCTTTCTGCCTAAATCTCATGAAAAGATCGTCAGTTGAGCAAAATTTCAATCTTGAGCTACTTTCGACATAGAAACATCAACATAAAAGTGATCGAATTTTTGCTCCTTTTCAAAGCGTAGAATGATTATAAAACAAACTGAAATTAAAATCAATTTAGATAAGTTTGAATCATTGATTTATTGTTGCAGATAGATTTCGAGAAATATATAATGGCAGTTTTCAAAGGCTTAGCAAATGTGTCACAAAACCATACGGTCATTATTCGGGAGGTGGACTATTTTGCTGGCATCCAGGTAGAGAATTTTTTTTATTTCTCGACACCCCCATGTAGGAATGTCGTATGAGTTGGACATCAATGAAATTAGGAAAGCGAATGATTGCTTTTGTTTTCAGCATATCTTAACCACTACGCCAAAGAGGGTTATAGCAAATTACATAACTTGGAGACTCGTTCAAGGTGGGTTGTCTGTAACCTGATTTATTGCAAGATATGCAGTCGGACGAAAATCGCGTTACATGCATTTGCAATCAAGTGAAATGAATGAGTAATTTTTATGGAGAAACAAGATTTTGCCTGCTTGAAGTCCTCATATTCGTAAATTCTTTCTCAGATAATCGCCGGGGGCAGGCGGCCATGCGATTTATGGGCGGGCGGGAACCGGAAAAATAGTTCGCTGATTTTCTGCGATCCGCTTGCAGATATTTGGAAGAATTTTAGCGAAATTTTGGACGAACGCTCGGAGGACAAACGCGGTTTCCTTGTAGATTAGCTGCGGCGCAGCGGCCGCATTCTCGCGGAAAGTCCGCGGAAATGTGCAAAGTTTTCGAGGGCCGCACGGTCCTTTGTGAAGGACCGCGCAGCCCTCAGGTACTTTCCGCTGAGAGAAAGTACCTCAAACTTGAGTAATTAAATCGATGACACTTCTGCTATGTAGAGTCTCACCTTTGCTCGGCGTACGCCCGAAACTGCTTATAAACCGTCCGAGCGCCAGCTGAAAGAGATTATTTGCCGAGCGCCTGCAGAAAGTCCTGTGTTGCTGCCCGCTGGCAGAACATGCGACAGCAAAGGAAGTGCCGCTCGCTGAAGGTTTGGCCACGCCCCAAAATTCTGCCGACCGCTTGCAGAAAAGCGCGAGTCTGCGGACCGCCTGCCCCTGGCGATTATCTGAGTTTAAGAATGCATAAGAATGCATGCGATCTCAACTAAGGTATGAGTGTTACGGTTTACACATTTATCAAAATTTCCTCGTAACAACGCTAAATTCGTGGTAGGAAATAAAATGATTTAACAACCAATGCTCTAGGTTTATCACCATTCTTACCACCAACTGCTAGAGAGCCATTTTATCAGTTCAAAGCAAATCAAACTGGAATGTTCAATAGTCCATCGCCTGATCGGTAAAATCTACTCTTATTGTCAATTTTTGAATCGATATAAAATATTTTAGATGGGAAGATTGTGTGATGTTGTCGGTGATTATGATGGATATGCCCGTGGGAAAGCTGTTTGTCGAGCATTTCTTTGAACGGGAACGGGCCATGATTAAGGTGAATTCAAGTGTGTTTTTACAGTCCCATCTTCAACTCGTTGCATCTTTCGAAACATTTCTTATTATTTTGATGATCCCATATACCCTTCAACAAACCAGGTCAGAAACTTTTTTGTTTTATCAACTTCTATGCTGACTCTTACCAAGTTTTTGAGCTGTGTTGATATTGAACAGCTTCATTTTTTCTTATAAGTCCTTCTGAACTTTTTATTGCTTTAGATGCGTGAACTCACTGGCTTCCTGAAAAACGAATTCATCAAACAACTTTATGTGCTCGACTGGATGGACGAGTCAACGCGACGGCGAGCCATCGAAAAAGCTAATATGATCGAGTACAAAAATGGTTTCCCTGAAGTACTGTTCAATGATACATGGATGAATCAACACTGGGGAATAGTGGGTTCAGCTCAACATTACGAATTTACCTCATTTTTTGACATACTCGAAGATTTATGTTTAGCTTACTTTGATTTAGATCATTGAACCAAAGGAGTATCTACTGCATCTGACAATAAGGATAAAGCTAGCTCGGTATGCAGAGGAGCTCATGAGGCTCGATCAACCATTGGACAGGTGGGATGTAATTTTATGAGGAGAGGGGGATAAAGAGCTGAGCAGGAAATTGTTCAGGATGTATTTTTTTCACTAATTTCGATTTTACAGAACAATGTGGTACCAAAGCCCAGCGCAAGTGGACGCCTATTATGCACCAAATAATAACGAAATGAGTTAGTGAATAAGTTTTTTTTTCGCCTTATCTGTGTATGGTTCATTGACTTATCAATACTCTCATTTCACTTTTGGTGGAATTTTTGCATAAGAACTGTGCGCGCTTTTTTTTTCGTCTTGAAAATCGTGGACCTTCTTCTCTGCAGCATATCTGCAGTTCAGCAGTAGGGCTGCTTCCTTCATTATTCAATATTTTATGATAGATTATTTTGGAAAGACGTCAGCAGTTTGTTAACATCATCAATGTGCTTTTAGTCTTTCCTGCTGGCATCATGCAGTTCCCATTCCTGACCCTTGGAGTACCCAATTATATCACGTATGGAATGGTTGGTGCTGTCATCGGACATGAAGTTTCACATGCTTTCGATGATCAAGGTTTAGTGGAAGATTACCTCTGCTCATATAGAACACTGGCAAGATGTTCCGTTCAATATACTAGGTTGGGGCACAAGTTTATGCCCACCGTTTTGAAAAATCCTAATCTCTTGCTCTTTCGATAGTTAGCACAAGCTTAGTTTTTCTAAATAGAGGAAATCCTTTTTTTGTGATAGTACCTCTGCTCTTTAATAAAGGGTGGTTTTTGAGATGGAAGCAGGTGAATAAATTCTTGGACTTAGGTCATTTCAAGTTAGGCTGTTAAAGATCTGGAATTTGCGATAAAATTTGGAGCAAGCTGCAATATAAGTATTTTAACCAACCTTTCCAGATGTGCCGATGTATCGAAAGAGCATCTCCGAACAGAATTACGATCTTTGAAAATGCCATTTGCTTACATTAAAATTGCGACTTTTCAAAAGAATGCTAATTCGACCCAAACTTTGTACAGTTGGAATGGTCTTACCAAAGGACTTATATTGTAGCTTGCTCCGATTTTTATCGCAAGTCTCAGACTTTTAGCAGCCGAACAAAATGACCTAAGTTGGAGTGGTTTCATTCTCCTGCTTCCATCTCAATAAAGCTGCCCCCTTATTAGGAGCGCATAGGTACTCTCACAAAGAGTAAAGTTTCCTCTGTGTAGCAGAACTGAGATTGTCCACAAATCTCTAAGAGAGCAAGAAGTTGTGATTGTTCAAAAATGGTGCGCACAACTTTTGCACCCACCTAATGTAACGCTTAAAAATTCCACTGATCACAAAGTTCACGATTTATTTTGAATCAAGCTCAAAACACGTGAATAGCTAAGGTCGTCCTCTAGCGAGGACTCTCGTGTAACTCCTCACAGGCGGTAATTAGGCGAATCTGAAGGAGATTCTTAACGAAAAAGGGAAGACAAGTAATTCGAAGTGGCCTCTTAAGAAGAGACATATGGAGTTGAAATCAACTTGAACTCGCTGATTCCAGGTGTGTTGTGCCTAGTTGCTTCGTATTATCTTGAAACGACTTCTGTGTTGTTGTTGTTTTTTTTGTACAAACTCGGCATCCTTTTCAACATGGGAAGGCTGCTCTGTAAGTAGGAACAGGATCCGGCACCAGCTGGTATGGCGAAGCTGGATATCGTATAGCTGGATATCAAGGGAGGCTACGTTTTGAAAATATCCTGGTACCAGCTTGTGCCGAGCCCTGAGTAGGAATCTGCCCGAAAAAGGCAGTTGGAATATCAGAATAGCATCACATCAAGTCATTACTAACAGGGAGCTAAACGCAGTCTACTAGTTATTTACAATTAGATGATGGTGCCGTAGAAAATTGTCAATAACTAGCTTCAGAATGATGGCGCAGCTAGAAACACTGTATTTGGTGTCAGCGTCACAAGTTTGCATTCAAATTATAAACATAAATCCCCTTTAGGGGCCAATCTGACTTAAACACCTTCTTATAGGTTACAACCCAAATGTTAGTTCATATGATTCATTTGTGCCTAAATCAGTTCCAAATCCTTTCTTGCGGTACTCTTTCAGAAAAGACGAACCAGCATTGCAGTGTACGGTACGCTGATTGCTGCACTCGGTTAGTGTACGATCTAAGCAAATAGAGAATTCAATTCTGAGCCATAAATGAAACAAATGCGCTGCCCCTTCGGCACTAAAAACATGAGAGTTACACATGAGGAGTCCACATATCGACTCTACCAGGTACCGCCTGTAGTTGCAGGCTGTAATTAAAAAGAATTTTCGGAAACTTCCTCATTTATTCCCATTTAGAACATGATGCAAGAAAGCCTTCTACTAATGAAAGTCTGTTAAAATCTCCTGTCAGCGTTGAGCACTGGAACTTTTGGAAACCATTCCAAAGGCTTTGTATCTAATTCTAAACTTGCAGGTGGCAGATATGATGAACTAGGCAACTTAAACGATTGGTGGGACACGGAAACGGCTGAGAAATTCGCTGAGAAAACGAGGTAGCATCTATCGCTAAGATTTCGTTTCTGCTCGGAAAAGATAAAGCCTTTGGGGTATTTGACATGCTTTGTAGGTGTTTTGTCCGGCAGTATGGAGCAGTAAAGGTGGCGGAAGCAGGAATTCACCTCAATGGACAGCTTAGCCTTGGCGAAAATATAGCAGACAATGGAGGCGTAAAAACTGCATTTAATGTATGGAATCCTTGTGGGAAATGATGGTAGTAATTTCATATCATGTTACAGGCATATAAAGCCTGGCGAGCTAACACTTCTGCCGAAGAGCCAGCCCTTCCAGGTTTCCAAAATTTCACAAGTGAACAGATGTTCTTCCTTGCGTATGCTAATGTGAGTTTCGATATTTGCGCTATAAATGACTTCAATAAGATCTGACTCCAAGAATATACGGGATGTCCTAAAAAACGTGTTTACTGTTTGATTGTCAAAAACTCTCTTGTTCTAATCTCTTTCGCCGATCTTTAGGTACCATGCTGTAGAGCTAGCTTCATCACAGATTTACAATATGGAGTGAATCACCAATCGTTTTTCATTACTTTAGGGTTAAGGTAGGAGTTTCGAAGAGGGTTTCCGGTCATTGATAGCCTTATTTCGATTCAGAAAGCAAATCTAACAACCTGAAAACTTTAACACTAGGCCGCTGACACCGAATATAAACTTGCTCTTTTTCGCAATGTTTCGTTCATAGACCATTGCAATAGGTTAGAATCTCGTAAAAACGAGTAACGACAGCGCGCATTAATACTTGGAACACAACTTTCCAGATTTTTTGGATTTTTCTTCCAAAACAGGGTAATCCACAATGACGCTATAAGCCGAAAGTTCCTATTTTAATCCTATAGTAATGAAGAGCGATCGGCAATTCGCTCCACACTACAAATCTGATTTAAAGCCAGTTCTACAATGTGGACCTAGGGCTTCTCCAAAGACAGCATGGCAAGAGAGTTATCAACAATCAAACACTAGGCACATTTTTGGGACGCCCTGTATGTCAACTTATAGTTGTCGACGATAAGCATGCATCAAGTTGTGTTATCATACAAAAGGTTCAGGCAAATGTTATACCCCGGTTATGTGGTCCCATAGGCTTTTTTGGTACATTGTTACCCGTTTCCCCGCTTCAAAGCGAGAAGAGTACAAAATAACATCCATCTAATAAGAAGTAGCTGATATCTTAGGTAATTTATTGCCGAAAAGCCATAAGCAGTTCATCTGTAGCTGAAATCTAACGCCACCTTTTACACAGTATTAAATAGTGTGCTGGCTGGTCCATCAGGAAAGAGTACGGCACTGGGCGAAAGTTTGAAAAATGTTCTCGGCCAAAATGATTTCATTAGCTGCGGCTTGGGCAGTGGCTAGCTAAGAGAGCCCAGCATTCAGATAATTAGTCCGGATCTGCGTAACGGTGCCTTCAAGCTTAGTGTTTTCTCCTCAAATAAAGCAAGTAGTTCACAATTTCAGTCCTCAAGGTGATTTTGCAGAACTGGTGTTCGGTGATTCGACCAAAGCATTACGTCCAAATCATCATGACGGACGTGCATGCGCCCAGTAAATATCGCGCAACGATCCCGCTGCGAAATCGCATCGAATTCGCCAATGCGTTCCATTGTGCCCGAGGAACACCGATGAACCCCGAAGACAAGTGTCAGGTGTGGTAAGAAAATCAAAGACATGGTTATCTTTGTCCAGCACCACCATAGCACTTGTGACCGAAGTCGCCCAGTGATGTACAAATTTTTTGCAGTGCATTTATGTCTAAGCTTTTTCTAATCAATCAATCCTTCTGAACTACTCTTCCCTATTTTACTGTTTCTTGGTTTGAAAGTCATTCTAGTCATCTTCTTCACATGTGCTTTAATATTATGTCTACCATTGCATTTCCGAATGATCTCGTAGATTCGAATATGTTAAATATGTTGCGAATAAATCTTTAATTTCGAGCTCATCAAGCTCAGCTGCGAAAAACCATGCGAGCATTGCCTCATAAACTGTACCGTGCACAAGCGCTGGCGATTTGTCTCGTTGCGATTGCGGTACATGAACAGTTTTTTTACAGGTTGAGCGATGCGGCTGCGTCATAATAGGCATGAAGAGGAAGAGGAAAGGTATGGCTATGCAGGGTGGTCCATATGGAGTGTGACACAACGAGAGAATATTATAACTTTGGATTGAATGAAATCAGAAGCTTTTGTTCTCACCTGATAGAGAAGAGAATTCTATATAAGAACTTCTAGCTAACTTTTGAGATACCTGTCCCTATTTGTTTTAAAACGTTTTTTCTCCTTCAAACCACTTCCGAAATTTCTTCGATTTGCGAGCGATGGCTTGTGCTCCCAAACTCCTACCAGGTTTCTCGTCGGCAAGTCAAATGACATGGGTTTCAAAGGACAGACTCTTTTCTTTCAGGCAGACAAAAAAGAGTGTTTGTAGGTTCAAGGATGAGCGAGCTAGAGGGCCAAATATTATTTTTTCCATTGTTTAAAAGATGGATTTTACACAATTGCAATTTCTTCTTTTCGTTGTGGATTGTGGGTTGGTCTAGTCATGCAAAAAATTCCCAAAAGCGTCTATAGTATTTCCCTTGATCCAATGAGTTGCCACAACCCTTCAAAGTTTGCTTTCGATGCTTTTTCCAGATTCTCAGAAAATTGCGATTTTCGTTGTTATGGCGACTGCCTTTGAAAAACCTTTGACCTTGACCATGTTTTACTTTAAGAATCGAAGTCGGGAACAGCTACAACGGGACAAAAGAATATGGAGAAGACAACTACCACCAAAACATGGAGTGAAAAAGACTAAACAATGAATTTTTTGCAGCCAGTCAAACATGTGGGCCACATATGAAAGAACACTGTTCGGCCTTTCCATTCAAACATTCTTGAACCCACGAATTCTTTTTCTGGCCTATCTGTGACCAAAACGCCCCCTCTTCCAGATCCATTTCACTGGATTTACTAAAAGGAGATCCTGGGACGAGCTTCTGTCAAAAACCATTGCGCGCATTTCGAAATTTCCGCCGAGCAGAATAAATTCTTTCATCGAAGCCAAAGGTGGATATCCCAAAAGAAATCTACAATTTCCTATACGGGAAATTCTTGTCTATCAGATGAATACAATAGCTTTCAATTTCACTGAGTTCTAGGCAAAGTTACGAAAGCTTTTGTGAGTCACATTTCATGTGGACCACCCTGTAGACGCCTACGACTTTATTCCGTCACGCATGCCCGACGGCGGTGTTCACAGGCGCCTAGTTGTCCTCTTCACTCACTTCACAACTGCGGCATTATCAAATGAAGGAGGATTTTTCGTTTGCCATCGCGTTAGAGAAGGTCGTTCGAATCGCTTTTAAGCGAAGCTCAGTGACCAATCAAACAAATTATCGGTGACTTAGGGCCGCATGCATTGACATCCCTGCCGGGGAGGGGATCACAGCTTCAGAATAAAGCTTCATATCCTGAAGCTCCAGATATCTGGATTTCACGCTGTCTAACTATTCGTAAGTATTCCTACCAACTTTCACTATAAATATAAACTGGAATAAGAAGCTGTACAAGCCGCATTTTCAAGCTTTTTGTATGATCCGCCGATGATCCCCGCCAAAAGTCTTTTCTTTAAAGTCATTTTTCTTCCTTCAATGTTAACGAAAATCTTCCAAGGTTGTACCGATTACCTAAACCAACAGTGCTAAGCATGTTGCTGTTAAGAACAGACGAGTTTCTTAAAGATCGAGTTTTTCGATATACCCCAACATTGGACTAGTGGTTCAGGTTGGTTTGGTTCGCAGATTTCATAATCCAAAACGTCATTTGTTCTTAATAGCAACATGCTTAGCACTGTTTAGGCTAGATGAACAGTACAATTTTGGGATCTTTTCGCTAAATTGAAGAAAGAAAAATGATTTTGAAGAAAAGACGTCGCCGCTAGGGATTGTCAGAGGATCATACAAATGCTAGAAAATGCGGCTTGTACGGCTTCTCGCTCCTGTTCAATATGTTCATAGTGAAGGATGGTAAGAATAGTTACGGATGGGTATACAGCGCAAAATCCAGAAGTTCGGAGCTCCAGGATATGAAGCATTCTTTGTAAGCTGCGATCCCCACTCCGGCGAGGATGTTAATGCATGCCGCCCTAAGAAAATGTCTAAAAGCTGCGTTGAGATCTACTATAGCAATGATGAGCATCTCCAACAGAACAAATGGAACAAAGAAGTTACAGACTTTCCGTAAACCCCTCATAAGCAACAGTATGTCAAAGATTTTGCCTAACCGAGATTATTTGTACCAAAAACATGCGTAACAATGTCATATCACCCCAGCACAACACTGAATTCATTGAGTTCATGTAGAGGAAAATGACTTTGGAAGGGTTGTAAACCTTAGGGAATCTCCTCAAAGGATCCTACAAAACAATGGAAAACTCGGCGCATAAGGAAATCTGCTATATTCAGTCGGTCTCCGTTCGTTGCACTGGAATGCCGACATTTTGAATTATTTGCTGCTTTCATCTCAACTATCGTGGTCGCTTTTTCTTTTCAAATAGCCTCGATTTGTGCTTAAGACCTAGCGGAATGATTGACAGTAATGTGGCTAATAATGTTCGCGATTGAGTGGACATGGAGGAAGTAAAGGAGTAGAATCGACGGAATGAATTGATGTATAGAATTGAGTCTGCGGAGGATACACGCTAGGCAAAAAACAAATTCGTCTGTTCAGCCCGCTTTTTTCAAACAAACACTATTTATCATTTAGTGCACAAATGCTGGCAGTATCAAAATATTCCGATCGTTTCTATCTACTTTCAACGTCGCTTGTGTTGCTGACTCGTGATCTACTTGCCCTACTAGACCCAATTGACCTTCTTGATCTTCTTGTTTGCGACTTCTAAACGATAGCGCTTATCTAAAAGCTATTCTCTGGAACAGACACTACCTTTCGTTTTGTTTCATCTGTATTTTTGTTAATAAGGAGAAGTGATGCGTAAAGAAAGAGGACCATGATAACAAATGCTAACGCGGTAACCACAAACACTTGGAAGCCGCTGTCGATTCCTCTTGCGCCAGTCGTACCCATCTTTCTTGCCTATACATACAGAATTTGAAAAATATGCTTGAAAAACGGTGAACAATTGAGTACGAAGCTGCTTGCCTTAGCAACTTTACGTAGAAGTTACAATTTCGTGAATACAAGTAAGAGCCAGCTCACAGCAATGCTGTTTGCAAAATGAACTATTCTCATGAACTAGCACACATGTAGGCCACGTTGGGATGCTTGTCCGTCTCATAAGATAAGAAGCTAAACGTTCTTTTCTACTCTTCAAGAGGAAGAAATTCTCCAGCTTCTCTCAAGCGGGTTCGGGAGTAAAATTTGCCTTACGATAACTAATACCTATTTGCAACACGCCACTGATAATCTGTACAACAAAGTTGTCAAGTAAAATCTTCTATCCTAGCGCTATTTTTGTACAATTAGTAAGGTTCTTTTTCCATAAATGTCAATTATAGTCTCATCTGAATTTCCTGGTAGTGTAAGCTTGTCTACTTTGACCATTCGGCACTTTTTCGTTATCCGGCGGGTGTAGGACGATTCGCACGACCGTAATGGTTTCCACACAGGACCACCGCCGCGCGCGAAACACCCTGCGGCGGCTTTTGCCTAAGCAAAACAGGGGGAGGAAAGATTTGCGGCGTGCATTACATGTTAAGACAAGTCAAATTCAGGGAAACGTTGGAGACCGCCCGTGCGAAAAGACCGTCTCCCGTATCAACATCCTGCCAAGTGTCGGAAAAATGACAGATCATCTACATGTTTGACAGGTTCTAACTTGCGAGTTTTGTGTCACACGCCTACCAACACGTATTCATCCTGTTTTTTAACATGTTTCGGACCGCAATCGCGCACGGCGAAAAAGAGGCTACTTTCAGCCGTTAGCCAACAAAGAGACCTTAATTCTTAAATTATGTGCTACATCTGTAATCAGCATGTCAGATAAGATCCATATCCAGAATTCTGAGTTCAAAGTGTTTAAATTTTGTCGTGTGAGAAGACTTCTGTGCTTTCTTGAAAGATAGGAACAAGAACTCAAAACTCAGAACTCATTTTGGGAATTCTTCAAAAAAATGGGTCCGGATAACAGAAGAGTAGGTACCCACCTTTTTGAGACTGATGATTTGATGACAAAATGTGTTGCTTTTCATGATTGCAATGGGATTCCATTCCAAATTTGCCGCAGTATCAATAATTATCGTTTTGTACTTGTGCTTCCATTTTCAGTCTTGATAAGAGCTTTGTGAGATGTAGTAATGCTTTACAATTAAGCCCTATTATTAGCTTGTAAGTCTAAGTGGACCCAGACAAAGACAATTTCACATGGGAAGTCCCTTGCTTCCCTTGTCTAGTGAACCTGATATGCTGCATGAAACGAGGCGGCAATCATATGCGGACACTGTTAACCGGTTTCTGAAGATTGAAGAAAGAGATCATTGAAGTGACACAAGAAAAAATAGCAAACAAGACCACTCATTGAAAATCCAATTATATGCTCAACAAGGAAGTTTTTGCAGTTCTTCTCATTCGTGAGTTGTTCTAGTAGTGAACTTTTTTTGTCAAACTGGTTCATGTACTAGCGAATACCACTTTGCTGATGACACAGATTGGTTTTCGCTTCTACTGCTGACTTTGGCAGTAAAAGAGGAAAACATTTGAGATCTTCGCAAAACATGACCTTTACAACCCCTACACTTCCAGTGTTCATCGAAACATCTGCAGCACTCTATTGCCTAAACTGAGTCAACATTTACACAGACAGAGATTTAGTTGTTCTATTCAATTACTCACAGCAGGTGTTGCACAGAATGAACAAAAACGACTTCTGTTCTCGCTGTTGCTAGGCAAGTGGACAGTGTTCTAAAATGCATACCCTATCTCCTTGCGCAATTTGAAATTGTTAATTCAGTTCTCAAGTAATTTCGGTTGTTATCAAGGTTTGGAAATGCCATAACAGAATATTGTATGACTGACTGGTGATTTGTAAGCAGTCCAGGAGAATCAGAAGCCATTTCTGTTCAAAAAATTCACCTAATGACACCTTTTTCAAGATAATCGTATTGCATATCATTTCAAAAATCATTTTTAGCCAATCCAGAAAGTGACAAAATTTTGATTCTTATCAACTATGACAAAATTTTTGATTCCGACTAACAATAAGTTACAAATAGTCTAGCTTGATAAGATAAAATCTGTAGAAAATGTGAAAATCAAACTAACATTTAAAATGTTTTCAACGACTGCAACTTAAAATCATATGTAACTAGCAAAACTTCTTGTACGCTTCTTGAAAAATTCAAGCATATCCAATTCCCGCATTTAGGAACTAATTTTTGGCGCAAAAGTTGCTACGGTAATTACTATTACTTGTTCCACTCACGCCACATACATATCTATGTATCTAGCAGTGACGTACCCAGATTCCGTTCGGGGTGAGAGAATGAGGCGCAAGGGAAATTTTTTTTCAAGAAAGGCGCGTAGCGTCAGCCACAGACTCCTAAAAAATTTTTTAGTACACTTCGGAATTTTTGCAGGCCCATAATCTCAGAATTTTAGGAAAAGGGGGTGTGGAGTCATCCACGCCCTCGGAAAAAATTTTTTATGAAAACCGTTCAAAAATTTCAAGTTTATTTTGGTTTTTACAAGTATAAATTCCGCTCTCGAGGGGGGGGGAGAGAAAAGGCCCTCGTTAGGCCTCGGGCAGAGTCACGCGATTTGATCGTCGCGATTCAATCGCGACAAGAAATCTGTTACGAGTTCATTGCATGCCGAGCTGCATTTCTGTTGTGATGCTTTTCCAGCCCGAAGCTTTTGAATGTAAAATGAAATAGAATGAAAATCGCGGCGATTGAATCGCCGCGATCAAACGTAACTCTGTCCAAGGCCTTACGCCACCGGTGTCTAAAAACACGTTATACAGATTACACGTGTAGTATAGGCTAGTTCCCCGTATAAGTCGCAAAATTTTGAAAGTTCTTACACGAGTTATATGTGAAAATGAAATGTTTACACTTGTAAACAATTCATGTGATTTTTGAAAATTTTTAGAATTGAATTAATTCTTGGCAAAAAAAAACTTTCAGGGGGAGTGGTTGCCGCCACGCCCCCTTCTTTTAAAAATTCGCGATTACGGACCCGCAGCATTTGAAAAATTAAAAAGCTTTGTCGCGCCCCCTTCCCCCATGAAAATCCTGGGTGCGCCAGTATCCAATTCCTTAATGATTAAAAAGTGTTAGAAAGCACCAATATTTCGAGACAAAAAACCCCTACATGGTTCTCAAGAATGGAAGGTTTTGAAGCGCTTGATTTTATTCTATAATTTAGGCAAAAAATAGAGTGTTAAGCCTATTTAGAAGTTTCCTCCCTGCTATACAAAGAAATAAGCGGCTCATACAAAGGCATTATACTCAATTCGTGCATTTGCTTGCCTTTCAAAAATAATTTACTTGTTAAGCCCAGAAATATGTCTCAAAATATTACTGCTGCCGATACCACATCCCGCTATCGACTTCCGTAAAATTACTTGTTTATGATTTATTAGACTTGCTTCCATTTTTTTGTCGTTTCGGGACCTTCTCATGCTCCTGTTTCCGAATATGAAGTCGAGGACGCGAAACCTACGACGCCCGTTTGAAAAACCCGCGGGACGAGTTCTTCGAACTGTGATTGGATGGACGAGCATGCGGGCAGGTATTACTGGAGAGGGCGGTTCCGCCTAGGAGTCCTCGTGCTTCTCTATGATTCCGGAGCGATTCTTGCTTCCGAATTTTGCTTCACTTTGCGACTTGAGCACTAGTTTGGCACAGGGCCTTAAAATCGTACGCTACCAAAAGCTCAGGAACTCTAACTTACAGTGGAGGGTGGAAGCAACTTTCTACAAACGCTTCAAAAAATAATAGAAAACCTAGCAAGTGCTAAACCATAAAGTCGAAGCAATCAAAGGGCACCAGAACGAACCACACTACAATCATTAAAACTTACGACAACTCTCCCTTTTTCTTCTTTAATTTCCCAGATGAAAGGCGGAGGATGACTAACAAGGCAAGGTCGAAGTGGCGACTACGAATGCGAGGCCGAAAGTCGCGCAAGGCGCAAGACTTCAATACTACATTCCTGTCAAGTTTTTATTTCGAGATGTTCTCCTTGTTCTCACTTTTTTTCACCTTTTCCAAAAATGTAAAGAGCACTGTTGCACTTCCTTTATTTGCTGCGGTACAACCAAACTGAGAACGGGAATCACGGTAGCATGGAAGATTGTACAAAGCCTGCACCTACACAACCCGAAGTGGGGCGGTATGTCGTAAAGTCCCGAGGGCACGGTTCACGCGATTTTATCGCCTCGCGATTCCTTTAACAGGACAACTATTACGAGTTCGTTGCATCCAATTCTCTTGCATTTTGATCGTGATATCATTCCAATACGACTAGTCGTGACTAACTATCACAACCAAAATGCAAGGTGATCGACATGCTACTCGTAACAGTTGTCTTCTCTGGAAAATCGACAAAAGACAAAATCGCGTAAACCATGCCCGAGACCTGATGCTGCAATCTCCATGAACGAGTCCCTCCCTCTTGAAGCAAACTTGGTGACAGCATTCATCAAAGAACCCGCGGATTCCGCACCGATACTCACGAAATTAGTGAGTCAGCAAACTACAGATTACTTACTTTTCGAAACTGGAGGCGTCGTCGATGAATACCCACTACTGCGGACTTACTGGGATATCTGATAAATAGACCCTGAACACATGGGACTTTCACTGAAAAACAGGTCAAGTAGCCCTAACTATGATAGCGCCCAATTGACAGCGCAAATTATCCACCACAGCCACATTCGTCTCTAAACCTGTTCCCAGAACAGTATCTAGTGGGCGATTTGCATCCATTGTGCTTTCGCTCGAGGGTGTGTTCGGCGAAAGCTGCTGGCTGATGCATCGCTTGCTGGAGAAGTTGTGAATATACACTGAGAGACGAGATTTCTGACCATAGGCCCCAGATTTATCCGGCTCGTCCTGGTTCACCCGTTCGCTATCGGTCAATTCAATAATTTGACCGATAGCAAAGGAATGAGCGAGTGCATCATCCGTGCTGCGCTTGGGCAGTGTATAATCAGGGCTACAAAATCAATTTTCAAGTGCGATCATTTGCCCAGATTTGCCTTGACGCTGCCTCTAAGCATTGCTGAATTTGTTGCAAAAAGGCCGTCGAACCCTTGCTACATGTTTTACAGTTGCCTATGAAACATATTATTCACTGCACATGCTTATAAAGATAATGATAAGAGTACATTATGACATATGGAGATAGTAACAGGTGATCAATTTGTAATCTGATTAACTTTGTTTTTCCACTCCGCAATGTCCCAACGAAGTTGTTTCAATTGTTGCTTTAGAATGCTATTGTGGCAGAGCAATTGTTCCAGTTCTCTGCAAACATTACAATGACTGTCTCTTCCTCTTTTTCTACTATGATTGATGCACCTTTTACGTTCACGTTGCTCTATTCGCTTCCTCTCTCTGTATCGGAATGCAGCCTCGCGGTTCAACGAACGACGATGATTGGTTCCTTCATCACTGGGTGGCTTCATTTTTACACCACGGCGTTTGATGACCCTCTCCGGAGTGCTTTCCCTGGTCGAAGAGGAACTACACCATGACATAACTTCAGTTTTGCACTCTTCCACGTGTCTGTCATCTTTAATGGAAGGAATCCATGTAAGAGGACCTGATGCTGGAACGACAGGGATTCGTGGACTCTGCACTTCATCGACCTAAAAACAATGCCTTTCAATTTGCCGTTACTTAATGTGACATTTGTCCAAAAATTCCACCACATTTCCACTCACCGTAGTGGACACCTTCTGCTCCTGTTGAGACGGGGAGGAAGTTTTTTCGGATATAATTTTAGAGCGATATCGAGAAACAGGTGAACCATGGTCTTGTGTGTATTTTTCCTCATCTTTGTCGGACAAAAAGTTGAGATCAGCTTCCCAATCATTGCTCAAGTAATGATTCCAAGCCTAAGTTGGCACCCAATTCCGAAACTTTTATATGGGAAAGGGGGAGGAGCAAACTATAAGAACTGTTGACTTATCATACCTTCCAATCAATCAAAGCAGCGGTTTTTTCCAAGAAATCTTCCGTTGAACAGGGAGAAGTGGAGTTCGGATAAGTAATGGTGTCTTCACGTCCGACATTCTGTACCAGCAAGAAAAAAATCATAGAAACAATTCATGACTGACACCAAGAGACATACATCCAGGTCAAGTGGGCCAAATTCGTCCATCCAATCCAAATCGTCGATGAAAGCATTCCAATCAACTGCATTAGGAGTTGAGAGATCTCAAATTAAAAACCTCATTGTCAGAACAGTATAAACCGGAAAATACTAACCAGAAGATGCAGCATTCTCGAAAGTGTGATTATTTTTCAAAAGATCCAGTTCCGAAAGCTCAGCGAGAAATTGTTCATGCTCGTGATGACCTATGAATGGATCCGACCACGAGCTGGTGCTAAAGCAAAGGTTTAGAATGTAATAAAAATAAAGTAAGTTTTAAAAAGTCCTACCTCCTTTCCCTCGAAGGCTCGAAGGTGTCACATTTTATCAACGGGTTGGCCTTGACGAAAGGTTTAGGAGCGGTTGGGTGCTCCCCGAGTAGGGAGCATCCGCTTACGAACTGGGCGCTCATAGTACTCATACGGCTTATTCGGGACAACATTTTGCCTAAGGGCTTCGAACGGCGATATAATGAAGGCGGTCATTTTCTGGAAAATCATGTGGAATGGAAAAATCAAATAATACACGAAACCTGCTGGGAACAAGTTGTGACCATCCTTGACACAGGCCATACTTGAGCCACTTGATCTACTTCACCCACTCCGCTATTGATCGAATCAATGATAACCAATAACGAAGTGGATGAAGTGTTGAAGTGGATCAAATATAGCATGTGCCTTCTTATAACAAACCAAAAGATAAAGATTTCTCGGATATTAAAAATTGAAAGCATGATGGTTTGGGACCAAAATCAAAAATGGTTGTTCCTATTTGATGCATCGCAAAAGAGGACAAAAACGGATCCTACGATGATACCTGTGATTCCCCATGACCAGATTATAGCGGGCAGCAGTGCTACTGATTACTGCAGCGAATGCAACTTTGTATTTTGGTAAATAATCGAAATCAAACACCGCACTGCATAGTATACTTTCAGCCCAGACTGATAATAAAGGGTGCACGACACGACAGATGCTGTGTTGGCGCTAATGTACTAAATACTGCTTATTGTTAGGTTGTCCTCCAAGCAGGAGCCTGTCATACTTCACCGAGAAAAGCCCAAAAGCGAAAAAAGCCCAAACAGAATGCTAATGGAAGTTCGTTCCTGCATTCCGGCTCTTTCTGGCGCCGAGCTTATATCGGACTTTTTTGAGTGCTGGGCTTTTTTGGGCGCTTTTGAGCTTTTCTCGGCGAAGTATGACAGGTCCCTCAGTCTCCTAGAAATTTTTGAAGACAACCCCTTTTTCGCCTACTTCTCCAAACGTGAGTTCCGCGTTTGTTCGCATGAAGCGCCAAAACCAATTGTAAATGAAGCAGCTATTATAGCGATTCGATAAACAAAAGTGCGTCTACTCAGTCATCCTCTATTACACGTGTAATGCAAAACAATAGTTTATTTAAATGTAGACAATAACCAAGCGAGATACAAGCCCACGCAGCCCATCATCACCGCACGTCACTGCGCGTACGTCACCCATGCCCAGGTTTTTCTCTGACATGGCGCCGCGAACCTTCCAAGGGCGCTCCAACAAATCAATGCCGCGAAGGATGTAGTGTGCTACTAGCTTAAAAAAAGACGTCGAAGGCAGAAAATATGTCAAATCTTGGGATTTCGAAACAGTCTAGCCTTTATCCCTATCTGGATCATACTTAAGGCAGTAAACTAATGGTAGATATAGTGCCCGCGGTTCTAGATTGGACAAATTTGCGCGTGAACAAATGGATACGTCTACAATGCCAGTGGTTTCCGCGAACAATCCGGCATTTAAGGGCGTAGCTATCACGAGCATTTTGTCCCAATCTTGACACTCTCCAGGGACACTGTATTCAATGCCAGAGCTACTGGCCAGTACAAAGATAGTTTCATATTTTGAAAAGCAGAGGTGTTAAGTATCACAACGCTTTGATGAAGTTCAAAGTATTGAAGCCACGTCCACCCAGATTCTCGACTTCAGGTTTTCGTCGCTTCAGGAACTTCTCATGTCCCTTAATCCGAATATGAAGTCGAGAATCCGCGAAAACCTCGACAACTCTCGTCCTGGGGAATACATAGAACGATTCTCCGGAGCGGTGATTGGATGGGCGCGCTCAGATGGGCGGGCATGGATGGGGAAGGCAGTGCCGTCTAGGGGTCGTCGTACATTTTCGTTATTCCGGAGGATATTCCCGCTTCCGAATCGACATCTTGCGCCGCGACTTGGGCATTGGGGCTTGATAAGGGGTCCTACTATCATATGCTCTCAAAGCTGAAGACCCTAAGGTTGGGGTGGACAGTGCCTTTAAGGTATCGTGGATATAAACGGGTCCGTACGTCTGCACCCTGCAAAACTACATGACGGCACCATGCTTTGTCCCGGAAAGCCCGAGATAGAAGCCAAAACGGTCTACATGTTTTGTTGCTTCCGACGCAATAGTACAAGTCAAGTAGAAACGGAAAGAAGTCGTAGAATTTAGAACAAAGGGTATGTAGGACCAGACCGACGAATGGCGTAATCTGGCCCTACCCTTTGTTCTGTATTACACACTTTTTTCCCATTTATCCTTGGTGCATGCGACGCAAGCAAAAGGACGCTTTGGATCTAGTTCTGGGTTCCCTGGACAAAATTCCCGATACGCGACGCGTCGGTACCTGCTGGGCTTCTGCAGGACACAGTCTATATCCTGGACAGCGCCCCTCTCTTGTGGTGACCTTCTAAACCGCATCGCAGTGTCAATTACACGTCAGCCTAAGCATATGGAATCTAATCTAAGCTCTCATAATTACCTCCATGCCCAGATTCCACTACTCTGAACGACCTTTATTTGCTTGGTAGTCCCAAGAAAATTTCACATGATGATTGGTTAGTGGAAAGAAGTAGAAAAGTTGGATTGATCACAACGAGTCCAAATTACACATTTCTTCACGAAACAAGATGAACTCACGTCTAAGACGATCGCAGTACTTCACCGCAGATTCCAGAAACTTAGAAATCAGCGAACATCGTAATCGCTGACAACTAAGAAAAGTGGAAATGAATGAATGAAATTCGTTGCGAAAGTGGCGAGATCGATGCCGCGCCCCATTTCCTACGGTAGAGGCGGAGCCCTTCGTTCCGAGACCCATTCTCTCACCGCTTCCTGTCTCCTATAGCCAGAATTTTGCAAAGTGCTTGTCACTTTTTTCGCAATTGAGTTGCAAAGCACATTCACTCTCTTTGTTCACTAGGTACTACTAGTACTACTTTTTAGGCGAAATTCAAAATCACTTTGGATAAGAAAGGTGGTGGAGTCACTTTCGTTCCTTCTCTTTGCAAATGGTATGATTAGTTGGACATCCTTAACAATCTAGAAAGTTCTCAGTAAGTCAGTAAGCGTTTTATTATACAGTCAAGTCAGTAAACAGATGCGCTTACTCACATACTGAGAACTAACATACTGAACATAAAATGCCAAGATGTGAAGGTGGTCGAGCATGGAGTTATCAAACTTAGAAAGTGTTGAATTTGAAGTCGAGAAAGTCGCAGTACACGTGTTAATGCGGTCTTCCATCTTTTTTTTTTCAACTATAACGCCAAGAAACGCAGACACGCCTTTTCAGCTTCTTTGCTTTCTCATGATCCATCTCAAACTGTCAGTATTTTACATACCTGTTCTTTTACCATACTATGAGAATTGATGCTATTGTCTTTGCCTTCTTCAAGCAATCATCTTTCAGGGAAGATTCCTCCTTTCCGGATAGCTTGCTGTTAGGTACATAATACATAAGATGCTCGGACAGTAAACCAACAACAAATAGATAAATGAACTTAAATGTTGTTTCGCTGCGAGACTAAATATACAGAGCTTTGTTTTTGTGACTTTCCGAGAATCGTTCTTGTAAGTGAAATACTGCCCAATAAGCAAGCGAGATGATTAACGGACAGCCTTACGAGGTAATCGAAGAGGGATTTTGGAAGTCTGCTAACATTGTATCTCAATCACATATATTCAGGAGGAGCAAAATGGCTATGATGAATATACAGATGATGATGGTAGTGAGCAGTACCACAGTTCTGGCAGGGATCGCGATCGCAAGCATCGTCATCATCGCAGTTCCAAGGTATTCAAAATTCTCAGATTTTATTCTCGCGTTTTGCACTTTTACAATTATTCAAAAACGGCATGCGCAGCTTCCAACGCTGCTGACAACAAATACTCGCATTATTTGCTTGTTTATAATATTTTTATAATATTTCGTAGTACTTATTGGTTGTAGGATTTTTTACGTTTGAGGTTGCAGTCATTTTATGGCATATCCGCTCAGCCCATCCGGGTTGATTGCCTCGATCTCTCACATAGTTGTGTTTAGTTTTGCAGTCTGAAATGGAATTGAAAAAAGTCAGAGTTAGCAGTTCTGGTGCCAACTCTGAATGTATCTTTCATCCTAGATTTATCTCTCACTGTTGGGTTAAGCGGTTAGAAGGCTCACCAAATGCAACCACAGCCAAACTATACTGAGTCTGAACAAATCTGATTACTTTAACATATCGTTATCGCCGTTGCGGTTTAACTGTTGTTACCAGTGCTGTCAGGGCTACCACTGTTGCTCATTGCGACGCTTCTTGCCATTGCTAGCGGTCTTCCGCTTTAAATAAATGGATGTTGGCCTTGAAGTAGTTTTTGTGTTCGCAGCACCACCAGCTGATCCACGTTTACCTCCCAAGGGAACGGCCATAGGTTGGCGGCAACGGTTGTTGGTGTTGTCGGAGTAGCCGAGGTTGCCGGTCGTTGTGGGTACCCAAGATAGCCTCCACGTTTCGCGCTCTTTCTAAACTGTCTCTGACCCCGACAACACGGACAACCCCGACAGCACCGACAACCGTTAGGGAACGGCCATAGATTGCGGTGTTGTCGATGTTGTCGGTGTTGTCGGGGTCAGAGACAGTTTAGAGAGCGAAACGTGGAGGCCGTCATGAGGTCCTACAACGACCGGCAACCTCGGCAACCCCGACAAATCGACAACACCGACAACTATGGCCGTTCCCTAATACCCTCTCCACGTCAAGAAATGTGTAATCACCAATTTGCGAGTTATAGTTGAAACCTAATTGCCCGCGCCGTGCCTTGAACACTAGCGCAAGCGAGCGGTCGTCGCGAACGACTGTCGGCGTTCACTATATTCCAAGAAATCTTTCTTCAGCATTCATGTTATTCTCGTCAATGCAAGGTATATCTTGACGAAAGCTCCCTTCAAAAGTTTAAAAAAATATGTGTGGAAAGGGTGCGCACTCATTGTCCGCAGAAAGCCTGTAGCGCTTCGGGACCAAACGTTTCCAGCTGCGCCGCGCGTTGGCATTCAAAGCGACGCGTGGTCCTTTGGATTTTACGGAACCTGTACATGCGCAACCATACCCTCGATACATAGGGCCATGTGCTCTCGTAAACTTCAACTTGAACGATATAAAAGAACACAGCCTTCCCCTGAATAAAAAATAGAAGCGATCCGGAGCGGCCGGATGCCAAGATCTATCTAATCTATCTAATATATAAAGAATCGTAAGCGCAATTCAAAAATGTGCACATAGCGGGAAACCACGTGGCGGTCCCGTAGCGCGCGCATGCTACTAGCACCTTCAATTGCTGGTTCACTAGTAAGTACAATAATCGAGTGAATGTGAATGAAAAGTGTAGCAGGCAATATCTCAGAAGTATCATAGTCGCGCACGAAAGTGCTAGTTCATCTCCTTAATGAGCGATTTTCAACGTTTGAGACGTTGCCTGTTTTCCTAATCGTGACATGATGATCAGAATAATATGTAATATTGCAGGGTTTCGTTAAGACCCCACGAATTTACGACCAGAGCCAAATGCCCGCCGGCTCCGGTTTTCCTTCTCTACTCGTCTGCGTCTCCGCGCGTTGCGCGCTACCTTGCTAGCCCAAACGCGGGGGTCGCGGTTAATTCTGGTACCCTTTTCTTCATTGTTCTTTACCCCATTGTAGCAAACTGCAAATCATATTGAAGCCCTTGATCTTTACTTTTACGCTGACAACGTCGTAAAAACCCGTTTTTTGATTTGAACGAGAAATCTGGCAAAGTCCATGTTGCGAAAATCTCTTGTTTTTTCCCCAGTTCAACTCTTTCCACGCGATTTTACATGCGTTCGATACATATTGCTTCTGTCTACAATGTAGACAACGTCCCAAAGCTTGATTCTTTGATTTTGGCCGATTATTGTAAACGGCCGTTTTCCCTTGTCCTCTTTCAGTGTTTTCGCAGCGAATTTTTCCAGCTTGAGCTATTATTGCTCAGAATAATGAGTGCAACAATCCAGACAACGTCCCAAGAAAAAGAAACGTTAATAAGGGGGTAAAAATTTGAAGGACACACCAAAAACTGGATCTGGCTCTCGATAATCACCACCTCCAAAACATGGTTATTTTTAAAACCATCACAAAGAAGAATTTCTTCGTTTTCCCTTGTTGTGGATTGCCTGGTCCTGGAGCGAAAACCTGCGCTCTAAGGGACCGGCCGTACTACTCCGGGAGGTGATTCCTGCGATTCCTGTAATTCCTGCAAATCTTGTGATTTCTCGACTTCCGATGTGGCTCACTACGGAGCCCTTTGCGAATTTCAGTATACATTGCTTTTTCGCAATATACATTGTTACGGAACCCAGTGGAATCACAAGAAGCGCAGGAATTGCAGGAATCGCAGGAATCGCAGGAATAGTATGGCCGGTCCTTAACACGTTGACGACCGAGCCATTTTTGACCACCTCAAAATGGACTGATGATCTACGGCTGCAGTTTGGACTGTTTAACAGCTACCGCAATGCCGTGTGTTCTATATGACAACCAGGTCACCAGTGTTATTACTGCATAGAAGTTACCTGAGAAATTTTGGTTTACACATGATAAATTGATGCACGAAAGTGCTACAAGGTGGTCAGGGCGTGCATACGCGCGGATACACACGGTCGTCAACGTGTTAAAATGTCGCCAAACTAAGGGATCGTTCAGACCGCGCACAAAGGCGCACGAAGGCGTGTGTGAGTGTTGTGTGTAGAGATAAACGAGACGAGACGCGCCTTTGTGCGCCTTTGTGCGCCTTCGTGCGCCTTTGTTCGCCTTCGTGCCCTTTGTGCGCCTTTATGCGCGGTCTGCACGATCCCTAAAGATTTCAAACTCATTACGGCGTCTTTATTCGGGTTTTCATGAATTTGTTTTGATTTGGCTATCTGTTTCACACCTTTTCTCTTAGCTTCTATAAACAACTTCTACTTTTAATGAGGAGTAGGTTTCCAAACAATCTTCATTTTTGACGCCCTGTCTATATATCGAAGGTATATGCGAAACAATGAGAGCAAGACGATTATTTATTCGAACAGTAAAAAGCTAACAACGGAAAAAACGATAACAGTCGTAATGTGTGGTTTGCTAGACTTCAGTCCAAAACTCAGTCGTACTCCAAAAAGAGGTTAAGTAAGAAGTGTAGTCCTGAAGTTTGGGGGAATTTTCGCAAACACCTTTGTAGCGTAAAAAGGCTGTAAAAACGCAGCATTTTTTGGTTTTACTCTGCTATTTTTGAGATATCACCCGCTATACTTGTTTCTATGCTCATTTCGATACAGTTATGAACTCAATATCCGAGGCATCGCCCGGATCACTTTTTCTATTCAGGTGAAGATTGTGTTCTTTTATGTGCTCAAGGCCAAGGTTACCAGAGTACAGGCGCCGTGAAATCCAATTGCTCACGCGTGCTTTGAACACCAACGCGCGGCGCGACTGGAAACGTTTGGTCCTGAAGCGCTACAAGCTTTTTGCGAGCGACAATGAGCGCGCACCCTTTCCACACATATTTTTTCAAACTTTTGAAGGGAGCTTTCGCCAAAATATATCTTGCATTGACGAGAACAACATGAAAGTTGAAGAAAGATTTCTTGGAATATAGTGAACGCCGACATTAGTTCGCAACGACCGCTCGCTTACGCTGGTGTTCAAGGCACGGCGCGGGCAATTATAGGCGCCGTAAAACCTAATTGCCCGCGCCGTGCCTTGAACACCAGCGTAAGCGAGCGGTCGTCGCGAACGGCTGCCGGCGTTCACTATATTCCAGGAAATCTTTCTTTAGCTTTCCTGTTGTTCTCGTCAATGCAAGGTATATCTTGACGAAAGCTTCCTTCAAAAGTTTAAAAAAATATGTGTGGAAAGGGTGCGCACTCATTGTCCGCAGAAAGCCTGTAGCGCTTCGGGACCAAACGTTCCCAGCCGCGCCGCGCCTTGGCGTTCAAAGCGACGCGTGGGCAATTGGATTTTACGGGGCCTGTAGATTTTACGGCGCCTATACATGGCTCTATGTATCGAGGGTATGCAGAAGGGCCTTCTCTATCTATTCCTTGTTTGACATTCAGTCAAGTATTGATCAGAAAATTCAAGTCCTTATTCCTTCCAAAGTCAGCCGAGGAGGTTTGAAAGAGAATGGCAGGAGTTGACATTTTCTGAATATTCCATAACTTTGCATTCTTTTAACACATCTCAAATTAGAACAATGCTGCTTGCAGATGTTTCAAGATTTCAACTTATCTGCTATTCCAGAACATGAGATCTTTTGGAGCAGCGCCCTGAAAGAAATTTGATGCGCTTCACATCTGCGCTGCGAAAAACCATGCAAGCATTGCCTTATAAACTGTGCCGTGCACAAGCGTTAGCGATCTGTTTTGGTTGCGATTGTGGCACATGGACAGTTTTGTATACAGATTGAGCAATGCGGCTGGGTCATACGGCACGCTAAAAGAGGAAAGATACCGGCTATGGACGCCTACGACTTTGCACGCGGTGTCCTACGGCGGTGTTCACTGGCGCTATAGGCACGCTCTTCACTCAGTATATTTAAAACAATTGCGGCATTCTCAAATGAAGGAGGATTTTGTGTTTGTCATAGCATTAGAGAAGATCGTTTGAATTCGCTTTTACACGACGCTAGTGCCATTCAGACAAATTATCGGTGGCTTAGTGTTGCCGCGTTTTGTTTTGAACTGGTCGAAGTAAATAAGAAGATAAGCACGGTCTCCGCCTGAGGTTGCATTTAGAGTTGCTTGCATGCGACTTGTTTGATGTCGCGGCGTCTTGTGCGTGTATAACGCTCAGCGGGCAACTCTGAACGCAACCTGAGTTGCATAGATGAATGTTACGGCGGGGAACGGTCAGGGGCTGCATGTTAGAGGTACGCCGCGCACGAGTTCAAATCTTGGGATCCCAAAACTCCGCTGTCAAAGATACCGAGCGGCAATAACGAGGAGGTGAGGGTGGAGCAAATACATGACTCGATGCCATAACATTGCCAAACTTGCGCCACGAGTGCTTTGTCTCATTGGTTGAAGCTATGTTACTCATGGCATCGAATCATGTCCACCACTGTTTTTGCCATCGGGGATCTTTGATAGCGGAAAGTTTTATGGGTTCCAAAATTACCCGCTCGGCGAAGCGGACCTCCCGACATGCAGCCGTCACGGAAGTGTGTAGCGCGAATGGAGTGTTGCATGGCCGTGGCAGCCCATTTGTGCAAAATTGTCCAGAACCGTAAGGCCTCGGGCATACCTCGCGCTATTTCAGTCGCGGCGCGACTTGGCAATACTTTAAATGTTCATAACTCATCGTACGGGGTTCCTGAATGTACGGAAGATGGGGCATTTTATCAACCTACGGAAGTTATATATGCTGTGCATTTGGGGTCTACCAGTATTGAATGTAAAGACATCTGGCAAATTGCCAGATCGCGTGGCGACTGAAATCGCGTGAGGTATGTCCCTTGCCTAAAGTACTTTGCCGCGTGTGCTACCACGTGATACATTGATACGGCTTGGCTATTATGCGATTGAAAATTAGTATTTGTATGATTGTATGAATGCCGAATTTCTGAGGGGTTATCTAACAAGGGAAGTTCACTTAGTCGAAGTGGCGATTCGGAAGGAGATCTATACCAGTAGATAGAGCTTGAAAAGCTGATCTTAGATATACCTTCTATATCTGCGATGCGTTGTTCTGAAAAAAATTATGAGCTTTTCTAAAGCCAAATTTTCGTGCATTTTGGGTCGCAAAATCATGAGAATCGCTACACAAAAGTGTGCAAGCTTAAACAAACCACCTAGTAAGCATTGTAGGTCTAATTTGAGTTCATCCGAACGTTTTCGAGTGTTTTCCGACCATGTTGTTTATTCACAGGCCGTCATTTCCTCCCTTTATCACACTTCCATTATGTATACAAAAAAAATCCACAATCTCCATCTAGAAGAACGCGTCGCAGATATTGGAGATATATTTGAGAACGTCGTTTTACGTTCTATCCACTGGTAGTTTCCAAAAAGTTTCCCGACGCATTTTTCTAGATGGAGGTTATGGGACTTCTTTGTATACGTAACATAATGGAAGTATGATCTAGGAATGAAATGACTACCTGCGGATGAACAATATGGTCGAAAAACGCTCGAAAGCGTTCGGATTAACTCGAAATAGACCTAAAATGCTTACTAGGTGGTTTGCTTAAGCTTGCACACTTTTATGTAGCAATTATCATGATTTTGCGACTCAGAATGCACGAAAATTTGGCTTTAGAAAAGCTCATAACTTTTTTCAGAACGATGCATCGCAGATATAGAAGGTAAATCTGAGATCAGCTTTTTGAGCTCTATCCACTGGCGTAGATCCCCTTCCAAATCGCCACTTCGAATAAGTGAACTTTCCTTGTAAGACCATGATTTAGCGTCATCACCATCGCCGCAAACGATCGCATTCCAGGAGTAGGAGCCGCGAGAGATCCGGCAAAGTGCATATCAACCCTAATTTTGCACCGTAAGTTTTTGAAATCTCATTTCAATGGCCGTTTTGAGGAATGACCAGTGAGAATCAACTCGGTCGAAGTTAAATTGCATGTATTTTTTAAGTCTTTCCCTCTACAGTAGATCTGACGTTTAATATAATGTCCTCGCAGAACGTTGGGACCAACTGCTTCCTCCTTACTGGAGACTAACAACATCCTCGAGAGTGAAGTTGTTCGTCTGCGCAACGAACTGAGCTGCACCAATATCAGAATTCGAGCATTGGAAAACGAGCTCAGGTAAAATTTCATGTTCGCCGTGATCTCTTAAGATGTGGGAGCTTTAGTAATGGTGCCGTACTCCGCAGCAACCTTGAGCAGGAGTTGTCTGTGTCTCGTATGAACTGCCAGAAACTACAACAAGCATCAACAAAGAATAACCAGGTTTCTAATTAACGTAACTGTTTGCACGTTTCCGTTTTTCTCTCGGTTCTCATCTGCCACGTGGCGGCTCGAAATCCAGTAATTCGCTGCTAAGTCCTTCCTGAAAGTTTCGGAAAAAGTCGGACACAGGACGCTTATTTTCGAAAGTACTCTTACGATCAAGGGTAGTTTCGAGTGTCTGCTGCTAGCGGTGCTAATGTATGAAGGCCGGGAGCACTGGTTATTGAGTTTTCGGCGATTACAGTGGTTATGACGCTTGATGTCACAATCTCAAGTGTGCATTTCCTTACTTTCACGGGACCAACAAAAGCGCTATAAGTAATAGCGTCGAATAAGTTGCGCTCATTCTCTTCAGTGGTTGATTTCTCCATATAACCGGTGCAATGGTGAAGCCCTCAACATCGTGTCGTTTTGGAATGAGCGTTTGCGGTCAATTGATCTCTTGGTTCTGTTTGAGTGTTGCTGCTCCGCGAAGCGAGCAGCATGTTCTTGGGGTGCTGGTTGTCGCCATTATCGGGCGCGATACCCCATTCACGGTGGGACCTCTCCTGCCGGGCGCGTTGCCAGATCGAGGTGTATACAGTCTGCCCCAATCCTAACCAGGCCAAAATTGGCATGGCGAGAGTCCGCGTTGCTAGGGTTTCGGCGCAAATTCACGCCGACGGTTCGGCCTGATCCCGATTGGAGCAGAGTGTATATAGCTGCGCAGAGGGAGACTTACGATCCCTGTGAACTCTTTATCTCTCCCTTACTAGATTCGCTATTCACACATCGTCCAATCAAGTAGGCTGGTACAGATTATTTTTTGATGTTGGCATTCGAGCATTGTATGTTTGGTATGGCCGGACGCGCGATACGTTATGAGAGTTTGTCCGTGATATATGGACATTTAAATACGGTATCGGTGTGTAGAGGAATTGCACCGTTTCATGGGGATTAGATGGTTGCAGTTGACCCTGACGGCGAAACTTGAACACTTGTGCATGAAAACTGAGCCTTGGGGAACACTGAAAGCACGGAACGATGTGGCCTGTCCCGTGCTTTCTGTTTCTAGTGTGGTTAGTGTTTATTATCCTTGTATCCACGTATTATATCAGTATACGCGCCGTTGATGATTATACTTAAGATTCTGCTCAAGGGTAGCAGCGTCAGTTGACGCGGCCGAATGTTGGCAGTACAGGACAGTCGAGCAGTCAGCTAGGAGTGCTGAGCTTACCAAGTCGCAACATGGTGCATTGAATTGATGGTTGGGATAAGCCAGCAAAAGTTATGAAAGTACCCTAATTTCACGCGTGCAAGGCGCGGGGTGGTCCTAGCTTTCATCGACCAGCCCGAACACGGCAAAGGACTTCGCAACCAAAGGAACCCCATACCGTGCTTCGTTTTGCCTGACGAAACGTGCGGCATAAGGATCGCTTCTTAAAACACGTTGGGGCGGCTGAGCAGCTCGATGAAAGCTAGGACCACCCCGCGCCTTGTACGCGTGAAATTAGGGTAGATACAGTATGCTCCAATCCGGATCAGGGGGAGACGGCCCTTCTGAACCCACAGTGCGCTACAGTAATTCAATATCTGGGGCGCGAGCGCTCGCGCTGCGTTTGACGCGGACGAGTCGTTTCCTAATTTCGAAAGTTGCTCTCCTTCGACTGAGTAACATACAACCTGGACACATCGAGCTTATCTTGCGGACTTTGCTATTATTCGCTGTTGCCCCCCTAGTTCTGCTTTGCTGCCCCTAGTTCTGCTATCTGCTGCCTTTAGCTGTAATACTAGTTCGAAATCGAATACTTTTATAAAGGTAAGTTGTATTTTATGGCCAGAGGAGCACTTTAGTGAATTTTGTTTGATCTTGTTCGTCTTTTCATCATTGAAAAACGGCTTGACGTTTATAGTAGATACTTTCGGATTGTTTCAACATAAATTAGCATAATTCTCCTCTTTCATCCTCTAAAATGAGCAAAGAATCTGGTCCTGGACAGTTGTTGGGGCCTTTCAAAAGTATTACCTCTTTAGTAGTTATTGTTTTTTTTTCATTTCTTAGCTTTTTTTGTTTTATAGTCATTAGGTTCTAATTTAAAATGATAAGTATTGAAAATTGTCATCATGAAATGAAGTGAAGTTCTCTTCCTTGTGCATTAGACTGCAGACCCGTTCCTTTGCTAAAGTGCTCAGCTGATCAGAAACAGTCCGATTGTCAAAGAACTGTCTGTTATAAAGTTCTTGTCAACATATGAAGATCTAGGCCTTTACACAGGTTGTCATGAATTTTTGAAACCATGAACCCTGTTTAGAGTGCTAGACAATCTCGTTTTGGAGAATGCGTTTGATAGTCATTGTTTTTATGCAGGAAGACAAAAAATATTGCAGGGTTTTTTTGTCTGGAATCTGCGAGTTTGCACAGACGCAGGGTCTGTATCTCAATGAGCTTCTTAACATGATCTCGGTGGGGTCGAAAGCACTCTTTCTCGCCATTCTTTTAGTTAAACTGGCATTCCTACATTATAGCAGAGTATTCAGTTCTTGCAGTTTACGAGTAGGTATAGACAGAACAGCATGTGAGTTTTCGAGTTGTAAAATGGGAAAACGGCAGGATTGCAAAAAGAGGGTTCGCGGATGTTGTAAACATAGTCATTTTGTCAATGATTTCCAAATCCTCATACAATCACTGGAATAGCAGATTAACCCAAATGCTAGCTGCCAGCTACCATTTACCGGAAATTTTCGTGGTTAATGAAACTTTTCTGAAGTTTGTCTGCTCTAAGTGTACGCCGCGGTCTTCTTGTGGCGTCTTTCGTGGGTGTATGAGTGTAAGTGCACGCGGTACGCTGACGACGAAACTCGTCCGAAACTGCGACGCGGCTGGACAGGTCAACTGCTCGCTTTGGCGCGGCAGCCAATCACAGCGTGACCTTTGCGGCGGGCTGACCTATCACTATCATCGCGATTAGAGCGGGTTCAGAAGGGCCTACACCCGGATCAGGCCGAACCCTCGGGGTAAATTTGCGCGCTCGCAGCGCTAGCGGTCTGCGCTGCATATGCGCGCTCTGAGAGAGCAAAAGGATCGCAGAGAGAGCAGAGAAGCAGGCCGAGGGCGTGTCCGCGAAACCCTAGCGACGCGGACTGCCACGCCAATTTTGGCCTGGTTGGGATTGGGGCAGACTGTAGGGGCGCGCCGTTGTTTTTAGCTTTTGCGGCGCGCGGCGCGCGTAACTCACGTAACTCGCGCAAAATGCTATAATATATGTGCACTGAGGACTATAGGCAGCACAAATACAATGATTGATCCTTGGATAATCTCATTTTTACCTGTCCAGAATTTGATTGTTGCAGTTGTTGTCATCCGTTCGTACGGAAGCTGCTGGTGTTCGTAAGGAGAAGGATCGCTTAACTGAGGTGTGTTCTTTTTTCATCGAAAAACAATCATTTGCGGAGAGGGGGCGGTCCTTCGGGAGGCGGAGAAGGTGAAAAACCTTTTTTTGGAAAAAAATAGCGTGGCGTGAGCTATGTTTTGAAATTTCCCGTTGATTTCTAATTTTTCTACATCCTAAATTCTTTGCTAAACAAACCGAATGTTCTTAGGAAACTGAAGGTAACTTTTAATTTAACTGGCTTGACGGCTGGAAGGCGGGGCTTTGTGACTTAGCTAAGGCCGCTCGCGCCTACGATGCAGTCTGCGTCTTTCCCGTGCGACTCTCTGACCACTATCTAGCTTTAATTAGGTCACGAAGCCCCGTCTTCCAGCCGCCTTCAGCCGCCAAGCCAGTTGGATCAAAGGGTGGATAATCCATTCTGTACTAAGATCAAGTCATCTGTGCCATCCTTCAAATCCGTAGACCGCATTAACACCTTCCATGCAGTTTTTCTTGTAGCTCTTGAAGCAGACGGAAATGCAGTTGTCAGCAAATACTGAACAAGTGTCCTTTCTCACGAAACGGAACGAAACTTTGGGCAGGAAATGTGAAGAACTTGTGGAGAAGAATAAGATCTTGCGGGAAGAGTATGTTTTCTTTGTTTTCTTTTTCAAAATTTTCTTACCGTTTGAGTTCGATTCTATCCAACTTACGCTGCCTCATAACACTAAAAATCATCGGGGATGCCGTGCGGATGAATTACCGTGATAAGGAACCTGTATTGACACTGGGGTTTGTTAAAGTTACCGTGTGACCTGTTTTGATATGCGTACTCAGGTCAATGTCTTTTCCAAAGCGTTGAAACTGGTTGGAAGTGTTTTATTTGAGCCAAGAATTTGTAATGCCCGTTCAAAATGTAACTACACAATGTGAATCAAAATCATTTCAAATTTTGCGTACGTTTCACATACGTTCCGCGCAAGGTTGTCGAGGCTCTGACGAAGGTATATAGAAGCACCGCCGAAACGTTAGCCGATTGAATAAAGTTCTATACCAACCTTAGTCTACGGCTCAAATACATTGAACTTTATTTATGTGCATCTCTATGTGATTGTACATTTCAATACCAAACGCATTCAGGCGGGATGACGCAGTCCAACTTGTGTCTTCTATGAAAAGAGAGGTGGAAAATATGCAGGCAAACATTGATCTCAGACTAGTGGAGTACAAGTATAGTTTGGCATTTTTTCATCTATATCTTCTCATACATCATAAACCAAACTATCCAGAAGAATGGAAGGCGACCTTGCCACAGCTCGTGAAAGGGAACGTATGTGGAAAGTAGAGAAGCTGGAGTTGGAGAGGAAGCTGACAACGAAGGTCTGCTGTCTTTCCTTTTCTTGACAACTTTCATGATAAATCAATTTGAAGAACATGAATAGTCGTTCGCTTTTCTATTGCTGAAAGAACCACTTTAGAGCGAAAAAGCCAACTGCGCAGAATTTATGATAAGAAAACATGTGAGGCCTTTCAGGACTCCCTTTTGATTACCGAAAAGAAGAAAGCGGAAGAACAGAAGAGGCGCGATAAATCGCAACTGGAGGCTTTGGAGAAAAAGCTGAAAAGCGAACAGCCAGGATGGGAGGCACAGTTAGGAGTGGTGAGTAGAAGTTTTTACCTGACGTTTCTAGGCTCCCAATATGGGAACTGTTCGTAGTCTTCGTTCTTTCCTGTAGAGTACTTACACGTCATGGCCTTTTCAACAGAGAATGATTGGGGGAGGGAGACTTAGGGCCGCATGCACTAACCTCCCCTCTGGGGAGGGATCGCAGCTTAAAAGAAAGCTTTATCTTTCGAAACCCCAGATACCTGGATTTCACGCTGTGTACCTATCCGTAGGTATTCCTGCTACCCTTCACTATGAACATGTTGAACAGGAGCGAGAAGCTGTACAAGCCGGATTTTCCTGCTTTTGTATGATCCCTGATGATCCCCGGCGCTTTTCTTTAAAGTCATTTTTCTTTCTCCGAAGTTTACGAAAACCTTCCAAAGTTGTACTGAATATCTAACACAACAGTGCTAAGCATGTTGCTGATGAGAACAAATGAGTTTTTGAAAAGTCGAATTTTTCGGTAAACCTCAAATTTCGACCTGTGGATCATCAAAAATTTCATGACTTCAAAACATCATTTGTTCTTAACAGCAACTTGCTTAGCACTGTCGGGTTAGATAATCTGCACAACTTTGGAGGTTTTTCGTTAACTTCGAAGAAAGAAAAATGACTTTAAAGAAAAGCGCCGGGGATCATCAGGGATCATACTAAAGCTGGAAAATGCGGTTGCCTCTCGCTCCTCTTCAACATGTTCATAGTGAAGGGTAGTAGGAATACTTATGGAGAGGTACACAACGTGAAATCCAGGTATCTGGAGTTCCAAAATATAAAGCTTTCTTTTAAGCCGCGATCCCCTCCCCGCGCGGATGTTAGTGCATGCGGCCCTTAGAGGGAGTGGCTCAGGAAAATTGCGAGTAGGAGCTTTCCATCCTTCTCTGGCCTTCTGAATGTGCTCCAGGGCTGTACTTGAAAAGTCGAAAAGTGCTTTTCATGGCGTTTTTCGGCCTCAGAAATGCTGGAGGGGACAGCCAACTGAGTCTTGGTTGGCTGTGAGCTGATGCCGCCAAAATGGTTGGAATTACAGTATGCTGCAGCCAGTCGTTTGTGGCGGGATTCCCCAACCCTCTCGGCAATCTCCAAGGCCGAAAAAAAAAGCCGAAAAAAGCACTTCTTCATTTTTCAAGCAAAGTTTCGGACTCAGCGAATACACAAGGTCATGAAGATGCGAAAAGCTCACACTTGCAATTCTCCCGAGCCACTGCCTTCAAGGCACTTGAGATCAACGCTTGGAGGCGCATTGTAGGCGAACGAACTTCACCATGTTTTGGCCCGCTTTCGGATTACTGGTTCAAAAGACATGCAACAGTGTTGCAAAAGGACTAGTTGCCCGCGGGAGGGGGGGGGCTTAAAGTGAAGAGGTCATGCTTATCTCAAATGCGTATCTTTTGATGACAGTTATGCTCCAAAAACGACGGCTTAGAGGAATTTACTATAGCATTGTTCAGGAAGCCGTGTATCATGCTGTTGAGGTAGTTAAAAAGGAGTTCGGTGCACAACTGAAGCAACTTCAGGAGCAGGTCTGCAGATTTTACTTTTTGACACCTTTTGTTAGCTAAACACCGTGATTCAGATGCGCCCATTGAAAGAACAAAGCTCTGTCATTGCCTCGTATCACATGAACGATGGTCGACCGGCACGAGTGCTAAGCGCTCCTCCGCTTCCAGTAGAATTCAACCCACCAGTTTTTTCATCCAATGGCGAAACTCATACCAAATTAGATATAACAGGGGCGCCAAAAAACTTTGCAAAACCCAATGGAACGAACGTAAGTTTTCACTTCCGTGAAATGTACAAGGATGTGCTAATTGCAGTCCTGTTTTCTGCTAGCATTTTGGCGGTTTCCACCACGGAATTCTATTGCGGGCGAAGGCGCAGGATTTAGGGCTTGAAAGCGGTTCGTTTATCCATAGGTTGCATATGTGCAGGATTCCAGCAATGTAACCCCGGCGCATCGCATTCGCGACCGCTAAATACGTTGCTTGCGCCTTTGTCCGGCAGCAGGTTCTAACAATGCCTCAAATTGGGTGCAAATGCATATGCTGCTCAACAGGTGAAGTCGAGAAAACAAGCGCGGTTATTTGACGGTTTTTTTTCCAAAGATTCAGGTGATTATTTGCGCAGACCTCAACCTCATCGAATAGCGAATAAGTCTGTATCAAATAAGTGGCGCACTGTTCATCGCGAGTTTTGACGCAAGTATAGGCTGCTGCACGACGAAGGCGCAGTTTCTTTGGGCGCGAACTCGACTTTATTAGCCGCAGAGCGCATGAGGCGGAGGATTTGCCATGGTTAGAATACGCGCGCGTCGCGTTCGCGCCCGCTCAGCTAATACTGCTTCTGCGCCTTCGTCATGCAGCAGCCTTTACGTTGTGAAATCGCACTGCAGAACATGAGAGTGGAGAGGCGTATCTACTGGGTGTTAGATTTTCTCTCCATTACTTACCCGCATAACATGACTGCCACATTATTACATGCCTCAAATCCAGCTGCTGTATGTATACTTGCATTAATTTGATGTTTTCGCAACGTTATTCATCGCCTTATCGTCCGCACCGACAATCGTGCGGCAGTGTGTTAACAACGACACAGTTTAACAACAAGTTGGCATAAGGGCAATGTTGCTGCACTGCATGTTGCCATCACATTCACATGCGTGCTGTAGGCCAAAGATGCAGAGCAAAGGAGCATGGATTGCGAAGTGGAGACTATAGCACCAGGTTCAATTGGTTAGAGGCACCGTCCACCCAGGTTCTCGACTTCCATGTTTTGGTCATTCCAGGGCCTTCTCATGTCCCTCATTCCAAATATCCAGGAATCCGCGAAAACTCCGACAATTCCCGTTCCGGAGAATCCGCAGTACGGTTCTCCGGAGCGGTGATTTTGTGAGCGCGCAGGGATGGGGGCGCATCACTGGAGGAGGACGATGTCGACTAGGATTCCTCATGCCTCTTCGCTATTCCGAAGCGATTTTCTTGCTTCCGAAGCGACTTTGCGCACTCGTACCTATAGTTACAAATGGCTGCGAAGAGCGCGCCCCATGACCCGATGCAAATTTGACCGGCGCGCAGGGCGTTTGCTTCGGAGCGTGCAATTAGGCACAGATGTCTATAAGCTCCTGCAAGACGAAGGCGGTTGGTTCGATGTGCAACGCGACTGCGACCCGGCTGCGTCACAGCCGCGTCACAGCTACGTCTCTCATAGAACCAACCGCCTTCGTCTTGCAGGAGCTTATACTGTTTGAGCTACTTAGATTAAAGTGAAGTCCCCGATTGATGACAGTTTATCAATGTCTTGAAACGAGCCGATGCTGAGGATTTCATTGAAGGCAGCGTCCAGGCAGATCTGGACCCATGGGGCTTTTACGTGGAAAGTACTTTTGGGGCCCTAACTAAGGCACTGCCCAAGCGGCAGCTCAAGTAGTGCTGTAACGGCTGGGATATTCCCCTCGAAACAGGACCCCGCGACCGTGTTTCGCATGGATTCATGGCGCAAAGCGTGGATCCTGGCGCGAAACTGCCATGAATCCATGCGAATACGTTCGCGGGGGCCAGTTTCGAGGGGAATATCTCAGCCATTAAAGCACTACCTGAGCTGCCGCTTGGGCAGTGCCTTAGTTAGGGCCCCAAAAGTACTTTCCACGTAATAGCGCCATAGGTCGAGATCTGCCTGGACGCTGCCTTTGAGCCAGCGGCAACAAGTTGACGATGAAAGGATAAAGATTGTACACAACTGATCTTTTTCTGTAAACTTTTTGCATGAATAATAGGTTTTGAGCAGCGTGAGTCCGTTTCTTGATGCTGAAGCTTATAAGCCTTGTAAGGGTCCCTTCCCTTAGTTTTTTTTACCGCTTGTGTTTTGAAGACAAATGTGATTACTTTGTTGTGACTCACGATGGGCAAGTTTGGGATCCACATATCGTTTCTTGTACCGAATGGAAAGTATCAGTATGTTTGGTGATCTAAAACATTCATGAAGGGTGGACTCTCTGTTCAACAACTCAGGCTTTCTTTTCATCTGTCACAAAAATGAAGGTCAAAGAGACCGGGTCTCCATCAGAAATTGCGAAGAAAGTCCCTATCGATTCATTATAGTGTACTAGCTGGCTTACCCGGCTCCGCCCGGCCCTGTCATTATTTTATTCGTAATCAGCATGCTCGATTACCCCCCTGTGCCAACTCCCAGCCCTGTAGCTCAAATTTTGCAAAAAATCGATAAAATCGATATCGATTGATAACGAAACGTAACCTATGACATCCGCCCGGTCCCGAAGTGTATGTGTGCAAAGTTTGGTCCGGATCTGTTCAGAAATGGAATTTTCCATTCGGAACATACGTACAGACAGACATACATACAGACAGACAGACAAACAGACATTCAGCTTTATATATAAGATGCAAAGAAGAAGTTTTTGGTTTATGACATCATGGAAAGCAGTTTTATCTTCAATGCGTCAATCTTCAAAGAAAGCCTGAGTTGTTGAACAGCGAGTCCATCCTTCAATGCGTCACAAAAGCTACCCAAGAACTGCGCTCAGATGAGGAGTGAAGGGCAAAGAAGCAAGAGGTGTCTGAATCACATAGATACTGTTTCATAGATTGTACTTATGCTTTTGCACACACTCCATCTATGAGATAATGAACGAAGACTACGCAACGAAAATCGACAGACAGACAGCATGCTGGATTGCGGGATAGCTCTCTACCTAAGCTGGAGGTACCTAAGTCTCTAAGCTGCTGAAACTAACGTACATAGTGGTTTCCACGAGCAGTTAAGCTATCGACATCGATCTGTGCTTACAATGCTCACCCGCAAGCTACTACCCATTCTGGGAATAAAGAACTCGAAACGCTTTGTACTATCCACAAGTTGTCTAATATGCTCGAAATTGTTTCATCCAAGTATTGAGTCAACAAAAAATGAAATATGTCACAAGTGCTTGTTAACTGAAAGCGTTTTTGAGTCCCCTATCTCAGAATGAACGATACTTACCTCTTAACTCTTTGATCTGCAGCTTCATTCTTCTTGTGGCTGCGTAAAAGGGAAACATGTTCAGTAGAAGACGCCTCCCTCTTTATCCACAAACAAATCATTACTTTCTTATCCGTGCTAAGTTCTTGGGAAACCACCTTGATAGTTAGTGAACTCATTGGCAAGACGCGAAAGCTAGATCATCACACGTTAACAACTGCACTACTTTTTGTGATTCTTCTGCAGAAAGGAGCCGTTTTTTCTCCACTGTCACTTGTTTCGCGCTGAAAATTACAGGGTGTGCGCGCTTAATCGCCAGGGATCCTGCAGGGAACCGAGATTTGCACTGGGACAGGGGGCGCGCTCTCCGCAGCCATTTGCAACTATAGGTACGAGTACTTTGCGCCGCGACTTGGGCATTGGCTTAATAGGGGTAGGGGACTATATGTCGCCCAAAGTGGGTCTTGCCGGACATATGCAACAAATACACATTCCACGCAGGCTGTGTACCCTGCAGGCGGTTGTTCTTTCTGTTGTTTTTTTTTTTACCAATTGTTCTGCTAAGTCAGTGGAACCTGCGGTCTAGACCGTCCTACCGCCACTGCTGAGTATCCACTGCATTGTCCGCGCGGGACCCTCCCACTTTCGGCGACAGTCCTCTACCCGCTTAATAGAGGATCCTACTATTGAAAGCTGTCAAAAGCTCAGGACCCCTAATAGGGTGGACGGCGCTTTCAAGTTGATGTGGCGCTAGATCTTATGATTGACAGAGATGTTCACGACCTGTAGCAATGCACAATGTATCGTATTTCTCCCAGCTAGATAAAGGCTGATTCTCTGAAAAGGCGATCGGTTCCTTTTGCGAAGGGTGCAAGCGCGGCTTTCCGGCCGCCTTTGTGTGAGGTCTCCTTCACCAGTCACAAGTTCATCGCTGAAATTCGCTGCTGCAAATTTTGATTGTCAACTTGAATTCACAAAGAAAAGTGCTGAAAAAAGCGAAATGCAGCGCCCTGAGCTTGCGAGCTTATTTATGGGAACTTTTTTGAAACAATACAATACGAGAAGAAGGCAGTCTAGAGTCTCTCAAAATCTTAAGGCCAAAATTGGCAGGCGGGAGCCGAGCCGCGGCAGTTTTGCTTCACGTCTGCGCTGCCTTCTCTGCTCTCTCTTCAATCTCTATCCTCTCTCCGACTGTGTGCATATGCAGTGCACACCTCTAGAGCTGCAAGCGCGCAAATCTACGCCAACGGTTTGGCCTGATACTGACTGGGGCAAACTTAGGTTACCTCGACTTCAACTTTTCAGGCAATCTCATGCCTTCTCATGGCCCTGGTATCACAAGGGTGGGTCTGTTTGTCAAAGTGAACTTTTTACATGAAGTTGATACGACTATAAAGAACATCGAATGCTGATTCCAAATCTATCTTCGTTATCTGCCGAGCGCCTCTGGACGTCTAGTTATGAGCGTTTTTTTTTGAGTTGAAATTTGAATGAATAATTAGCACAAAATTCGTCAGAATTGCTTAAATGGTTCAGTGTTGAGTATCAAAGCACTCCAAACAACTCCTTCAACTCTGTCCAAAACACTCATACTTAATGCTGCTCTATCGAGCGCTGAAAAGACCGTAAAATTTGGTTTTACCTTGATTGTGCGTTAATTTTTCGGACCAAGAAAATATAACTCGGCATGCGAAGGCTCTCGGCAGACAATGAAACCAGATTTGGAATCAGCCTCTGATGCTCTTCAGAGTGGTATAAAGAATCACTTGTAAAGGTCACTTTGATAATCGGACCTCCCTCATCAGATATGAAGTCTAAAGCGTCGAATTCTCTCCCTAATACAATTTTAAGGCCTCATGGGAAAGTGTGGATTAGTGCAAGGTGGCAGTTCCTACTGTACAAGCAGCACATGTTTAGCATGGCAAGCACAATCGCTACACAGATGTTTATCGATCGTGCTGCTGCTCAATACGCGTCAAGCGGAAATCGTTGGTTAATTAGGACTGGAGTTAGCCCATCGGTAGTAGGGAATGTTCAGGCTCCATCACTAATGGGCGGTGGACAAACTGGAAGGCAGTGTCCGGGCAAAAACTCGATTTTCAGAAAATCCACTTACAGGGGTTATTCGCAACGCTGAATTCGAAAATCCACATTAGAAGGCGCGAAAACGGCGAGAACATGCGTTTTCGAAAGCCTTATAATTTAAAATCCGACGGTCCCGGCCAAAGCTGAGACGCAGGGAGGCTGCGGGACCCTACGATTTTGACTGTGGCGGCATGCGTACCCGCGTACCTGCCGCATAGCAGGAAAAACAGGTCGGGGACCTCGCCCCAAGGCGTAAGTCTTCCCATTTCTCGATCATTTTTTCTGCTTTAGGCCGAACGTTATAACCTCGTACTTGCGCGATGAGGTGTCTGAGGGAGGGGGGCTGTTGCATGGCATTGTAATCCCGAAACCCCCACCTTGTGCGGACACTGCCCTGAACAGTGCCTTTGAAGGCGGTGACTGTTTAATTGAGGTAGACTGGATTTTCGCGAATGTAATCTGTGGACCTTTTCACGACACCACTGCCCAACCCATTCATACAGTCTCCTTTGCTCCAAAGAAGCTGTAAAGTAGCTCATGGGACTCAATACGACGCGCGCTGCCACAGTCTACAAAAGTACCCTCTGTCTAAATGACAGTAACTAATACCAGCTAGATCATATATCTATAGGTGATTCATGGCACGCAAAGACTGCGCACGTTTTGGCGTCTCTCTGATTAAGCAGTCTCTTTTGTTTTCCATTACATGCTGTCTCCACTACGTACGAGCTATCTTGGTCGGACGCAACGGCGCCCAGTCTTTGCGTGTTATGAATCGCCAATACAATAGTGCCCTTGACATTCAGCAGAAATATGTGGAACTGGTGAAACTGTGCAACATCTTTGATTCACTTCCATCTTTGAGTGCTAACAAAAAATGTTCAGAAGTTGAAGTGGTTATCTCCTACAAGCTGCATGCAGCAAAGAACGCTGACTCCATATACTTTTATCATCTACTAAGCGCCAGTCATAAGCCATTATACTGCAAAGAAATAGTCCATGCAAAGTGTAAATTATAGGGATCCATGCTTGGCTCAATGCTGGGCTAGATCATGCAAGTAGGTTGCTTTGTGGAGCCCATGCGCAAAGGTACCTTAAAGGGCATTCATATGTCTAATTTGCAATTCGTATGTGCGATTTACGTCCGTAAAGGCGTTTTACAGATACGGAAACTATTTGGAGTCAGCGTTTTACGCTGTATCACACGGTGTGCAGATTGTCTGTGGCCTCTTCGACTTCTGACCATTTCTCTTGTCGATTTCCCTGGCGCCACTCGTAAACACAACTGTTGCTGGTTAGGCAAAATGCCAGTAAAAGAAGCGCAGATCTCTTGTTGAATAGCTTTCGCATCATCATTCAAAAAAGGAAAGCGAGTGTTCTTTGCCTACATTGAAATAAATGCAGGTTGAATCCTATACTCAAAATGGCATTCTGCCGACCTTCACCGAACAAGAACTGATTGGTGGAGACGATGAAATCATGGCAACAACATCTGACCATGATCCTGTGCCTATTGATGAAGCAGCACTTCTAGATGACTGACGGCACTTATTGCCACTTACCGCTAACTGCTTCTGTCAATAAGTACTTAGACGTAGCGGTGTAGATATTTCTTGCGTTTCTTCTTGCTCTGTTGTCACATGTTGTTAGGGCTATCTCTTGTTATTCTGTCATATGCATGGCCTGTGCTTATGCTCTCGCTCTCGGGTACATTTTGACGTTTCCATGTTGTTCTCAATAGACAAGATTTATGCACATTAATTACATTGCAAATAAATATATACTATATCGCGTTTCAGCAACTACCTAGAGCTCTCTTCGGAAAGAAACTGTGCAGCATACAGATTTTTCCACATTTATGGAAGATGAGGGCCTAGATAGCCTGACGGTCACGCTTCGAAACAGCTTGAGAACAAATGTGGCCGCGAGCAATGCAGCAGTTAGACGAGTTTCCTAGTAAACGAACGAAAGATGGCGGCATGAACGATCGAATTGCATGCGGTGAGAAAAGATGAATGCTAGAACGCTTTTTCAAACAAATTATGTGATTGGGATGATGAAACACTCATGCCGGCTTAGCGGGTATCTCGAGCACAGGAAAAAATGTAAAATAGCACGACACATACTGAAAAACATATAGGTCATAAATTATGTAAAAAAAAAGAAGCGCAAAGCGTCCGTACGAGAATTGAAATGACGAAAACTACCAGAAGTGAGTGTCAGCATAATAAAAATGGGTGAAACGCCGAGGCGTGACGATATCTTTGATCCGAAACTCTAAAGAACACAGCGACAACGAATACAACTGATTACAAGCGGACTTGCTCTATAACGAACGGCCTATATGAGAATAATAGGTGACAATGTAAGACGGTGGCGAAAATCTGAACGTATGAGCCAAGTAATCACAAAACAGCCATTAAACAGCAACTCGAACCGTTCCAGCCTGGAAATCCATATGTTAGCTAGCAAAAATCAGTAAAACGTTAAAAGGGTTTGAAAAACATTTATGCTCTTTTTTTGCAACCCTTGAGCATTGCATACTATTTGAATATACCGATGTGTGCATGGTCGTCTATATCTTACTTGATGTCACCTTGATGGTATTTTGAAATTTTTCACATTACTAGCTAGTCGAGAGAATAATGTCGTTTTTTTTTCGGGTAAAATTGTTATTACTCGAGAAATTTTTCACGTTACTAGGTAGTCGAGAGAATAACGTCGTTTTTTTTTCGGGTAAAATTGTTATTACTCGAGAACTAGAGCATCTCCGAGGCCAAAATTTTATGGTTAAAGGTACGAAGCTGTAGTATACAATGGCATATGTGAAAGGGGCACAGTACCTTTGGGATCGGAGTCTGCCATTTTCCATTTTTAGTTTTTTCTCGGTTTCTAAGCATGGAAAAAATATATAGCAAGTGTACCTATGGATAAGTGCAGGTGTCTTTTATATCCAGGATAGTGAGAGGTTCGCAGGATCTCTTAGGGCGAAAATCCAATTTCTGGCATCGAGTTGCTCATACGTTTTAGCAACTTTGCGTAAACAACAATTTCTGCCAATGTCCGGTTGTCATCTTGTAGAGCTTCCTGTGCTCTATCGAATGGCACCCCTCACATATTTTTTTGTTGTATTTGTCTTATGGCTTTGCTATGAATAACGACATTATTTTCTTGACAAGCTAATAGAACAACTATGTTTTAATTTTTGAATATTCCGAAGCAGTATATTGGAATCAGGGCCCGGCACAGATCGTCTGGAAGCAGGCTGGACTTCGTTTTTGAGCAAAAAGCAAAGGAGATATCGTTTTTGACGAGTCGGGAGCCAAGAACCAAGAATAAGCGCCATTTAGTCCAACACAAGCTTTTTGGGCAGGTTATCACACGACTGACATGCTCTATCGTGTATGGCGAAAAGTGCGCGCGATTTGAAAGCAAGGCTAAAGTAAACAAGTTGCTTGTTTAGAGCGTAAACATAAGCTTTTGACACCAAATTTGTACCATATAAGTAAAATATTATTTAAGGAAGACCTATGTAAAAAGTTTTGAAAACTTATGTGAAGTAATACCTTTTCCAAAATTAGATCGTCTTCAGACGGCCACCAGACGATCTGAGATCGTCTGGAGCATATATTTCTGTCACTTCACATAAGTTTCGAATTTTCCTATCATGGACGGATTCCCCGATCAAAAATCTATCCCTGAGCATAAAGACATTTTCATATCATTGCCTCTCCTTCGTTTTTTGCCTTGATTTCTTCATGAATTGCTTTGTTAGATATCGCGCTCCAATAGCAAACTCTTGTGCATGCATAGTAATCAGCTTCAACCTGGATTTTCTTTCTTATCTCACGTTTTTTCCTTCATACTAGTAAATTTTTGTTTCCATCTTCTTCTAAGCAGGTAGGTCAAAGGGGACCTCGTAAAACTACCGAAAGTCAGGGGAGACTTCGTTTTTAAAAACCCTAGAAACCGACTCGTGCCGAGCCCTGATTGGAATGCATGTCAGGTAGACGCCAGACTAACCGATTGCCTGCTTCAGCATGACGCGGTGCATTTACTGTCATTTGACGTCACGTTGTAGGGAAATCAAGTCGGCATGCGCGATGTCCTCACAACAAAAATTCTTCGCTGATAAGGCCTTTTTATCATCCTCTCATCGCGAGGCTTTTCTTTATCATCTCTTCAGATCTACTGTTGCTGCAAGCATCGCAGACCACTTCGACTTCCATCCACATGACGTCAAATGACATCAGCTTATTAGTTGCGAACCTCCTGCTGAAGCAGGCAATGTTAGTCTGGCGCCTACTTCACTTAGACCTATTAATATGCACATTCTGACTTACACTAAGAATGCGCAACTGCTCAAACTTGACCCATCCGCGGTTATCCAACAGAGGCCCGCTCTGCATGGGAAGGGGAGGAGGGTGGTCAAGAGGTGGGATTTTTCTCGCCTGTCAGCAACTCAAAAACCCACATCGGCGCTACATGCGTTGAATACCCATTTATTTGAAGTTACAGTTTGCTGTACTTTTTTTACTTTTAATGAACGACAAACCAAAAAGCTGAGTTTGTTACATCTTCATTATGAAGATGCACAATCTATGCAACTATCTGATATGACTCCTTAGGACCCATATGCATGAAAGCCCTTTGGAAAGAGAAGTGGCCACTAATGAAGGGACCGCGGGCGAAAATCACTGCGCTTTTTCATTACTGGGAACCACGCTCGCCTTGCCGCAGGATTTTCTGCCATAGGAGGAAAGCGGTTTAGTGTTAATACAGTCACTTCTTAGAGAAAGAGGTATTTTTTACACAACTCAACTCTAACCAATCAAGTAACCAATCAAATGCGGTGAAAGAACCCAGCCAAGACAAAAAAATGTGTGGGACTTTGAACTTTTGTTGAGATGCTCCAAAAAATGTCTGTGGCAATATTGCGAACAATATGTGCACGTGTATACATTACCTATACACTACATAAGAGCATAATGAAAAACATCACGTCATATTAAATGATGAGATGAAATCTTGACAAAATGACTGACTTCACTACTTTTTGCCAGAAGGGCTCGTGCCACCAACGTTACCACCAGACATTTTCTTTCCACTTGCTGGAGATTTCTCTCCTTCTTTTGCAGCGGTGGTACTGGCGCTCGGCCTTGGCTAAAAAGATGAGGAAGTAACACATGAAGAGCCGCGCGTATTTTCTGACTTAGATTCCAAACATAAGATAAGCAGACCTGTATAAACTGCGTCAACGGAGTGTTCGGAAATATGCGAGGAGGATTGTTGGCATCAGGTGGATTCAGTTCTAATTGTTCTAATCTCTTCCACAGATCCTCTCTGTCCTTCTCTCGTTTGCGTTCTCTGAAGTAAAATGAATGAATAAAATATTTCCCGAACATTCTGCAACATGAGTTCAAGTTCAAGCATAGAAAGGCTTATATTCGCACATAGGGCAATATATATATTCTCAAGTATTAGGAAACGAGACAGAGATAAGCTGAGCACTTCCCCCAACAATAAGCGACTTACTTTTGACGCTCCATCTTGTAAGTGCTAGTAAGTTCATCGAAGAGTTTTCCATTCATTTCCATGAAGGTTTTGAGGACATTGTAGACAAGCGCCACAATCGTTTGGTTCCAATGTTCTTTGGAAATCCGGTACAAAGCAGGGAACATGATCGGCATGACCTGTGAAGTATAATGTTCAAGACATATTCGACGGAGTCAGAGGTATCTGCACCTGAGCACTGGTATCTTCGATTAGTGAAAGTATATACTCATTGTTCCAGAAGTACAAAGCTCTCTCAGCCACCTCAAAAGAAATAATGTATGTGAATGCAGAAAAGCCGCTATTAGTTACCTGGAAATGAGGACTGCTCACGCATTTTGCGAGTTGTCGAAACAATGGATCGATGATCTTCTTGAATTGTTCTGGCTCTATGATATCCAAAATCTCTTCCACCTCTCCCAGGAACATCACTTCCTAAATACATAGCCCACCCACTTCCGAAAAGCAACACTGACGAAAAAAAACAGCAAGGAAAGCTGGATGCGCAGATTCGCGAGAACTGGGGTGAAAGAGCAATGAGGAAAATCGATAAGAATGGAGTCAGTGTACAAGAAATTTGCATTTTTAACGCACTGACGAAAGTCAACAAACTGAATGCATTGCTCTATACGTAACCATGTACGCAGTCGTTGATGTATTAACAGATTTATAAAGATTACCGAAAATCAAAAAGAAAAATTCGACGTAAATTTCAAAAAAGATTAGATGCAGAACTGACCTTGCTGCTACATGTCCTTGGCCAGAACTTCAAAAGTGCATCAAACACTTGAGGAGTAAGAGTTGAGTCCTTCTCTATGAACTGCACTACACAGTATGCAAGCTGAATGACGCAAAGGATAATGTATTAGGTTGGAATTCGCAATCTGCATAAAAGTGGTAAATAAACAAGCAGAAAACGTTGTACCTGTGCGTGATAGAGCGACAGACATTTAGGTTTGTGCAATGGAAGAAGGACTTTTACAAGGAAAACTTTGTGCTCCTGCTTCAAAGGTAGAGCGAAGCCGTTGATAATGCTATAAGCGAATTGATATAGAGATGTACCACTGATGTAAGATAGAACAGAAACACAGATGTGTTCGTCTCAACCCACCTCCCAAGAATTTCAAGTAATTCTCCCACTCCATTGAAAGAATCTGTCTCGTATACAAAGCTGAATGGGGACATATATGTAGCAGAAGATATGATAGAAAGAAAGCTAGATCTACTTACGAGAGAAACATGTTATTGATTTGCTTGCGGATGAATGCGCGAAGTCCCAGGAACTTGCCATAGATGCGATGCAGGACTGTTTTCAGAAAATCGCGTTCTCGCGGATCTTCAGAGTCGAATAAATCAAGTAACTAAAACATCACAGAGATAATTACTCATAGCAAATGTCTATGCTATCCTTACGTTCAACACGAAGCGTTGATCGATGTACTTTTTTCCGATAGAAGCTTGGAAATCTGGAGACTCCAAAAATCGCAGAAACAATTCGTAGACAAGCTGTTGAAAGATGCATGAGATCAAATAAGGAAGATAGTACAAAAGCCATGGTCAAAATAAATCATGAGTTTCCAACCTGCAAATGTGGCCAAGAAACTTCAAGAGTGGGCTCGTCCTCTTCAGGATCAAATTCAGAGTTGTCCGATGGAGGCAGCACGCGAAAAATGTTCTTCGAAACCATTTTTATCACCTAAAAACTTCTATTCAATATGCAAAAGCACGTTTGGAAAAAAGTGCAGATGCTAGGATCCATCATCAAATATTAGTCAGGCTCTCTCAAATGGCACAATAGGGATAGAAAACCCACCCCAACTTGTAAGACAAAATCCCATTTTTATCAACATCATGGCTGATACTCGGCAAACAGAGAACTCAGGGATTGTAGATGTTGACACATATCAACAAAAGTCGGCTAACAAACGAAAAAAGCAGATGTAAATGTTTGCACCAAGTTATGTCTTTTCAATATATTGAAGTTATCTTTACTCAATTAACAAATGACTTTTGGTTCTCGCTTCGATTAGCCCAACACATTTATGTGTCAAAGTATTTTATTCTTCACAACCACTTCTCGCGGTTTTTTTTCATTATCGGCAGTTAAATTGCAGAAAAACTAATTCTATTGAAACACCTATCAAATCCTTGATGAAACTGCGTAAGTTGCTCGCAAAAATGCCTCACCTCTGGATAGATTGACTCGACGATAGCTCCTTTGGTAGTTGTGATATGATCAATCAGTTCATTGAGAGCAGCTCTTTTGATCTGCAAAAAAAAACTATTCAAAATTGTCCCACCAATGAAGTGAATCATTGCGTTTTCATACTCTCCACTGTTACACAAAACTGAGTAATGTGTGTTAATTTTAATATGTAAAATTCAAGTGACACACTATAGATTCTTCAATTTCTGAAGATTAAGCCCTCAACGTATAAAACTGAAAATAAGCAGCATAATTGGAGTGAGAGAGTAAAACGCTTTTTCTACATAAAATATAGTAGTAGCCGATCATCACATGAAACTATCTAATATACTAATGAAGAATAATTTATGTAGGGCAGAGCAAGGGAAGAAAACTTTATAATGATGATTGATTTTTGAGAATGAGTGAAAAAACTTGACTGTTGCATATGGGAGCAGCTTCCGCATATGGGCAGGTTATGTCAAAAAGTGCAAGATTAGATATTGGTTGAACTCCTGGTTCAAATGTTTCCAAGTTTATACTAGGGAAAAACTTCTCCGCTGAAATCTTTATGTAGACTTCAGCGGCCTTTACAAACAAAAAAACCTTCAATGCCTTATGAACAATATTTATCATTATATAATATAATGAAGATGAACAAAGCATTAAGAACTCACCTCCTTGCTTTTTAGTTGCGCAACGGGGTCATAAAAGTCAAAAATCTTTTGACATTGGACAAGCTTTTGTAAGACAAGTGCAGGCTGCTCATTTGCAGGAGTATCTGCAAAAAATATTTCACGATAATTTTGCATCTTCGATAATGAACTCAATGGTTTTTCCGTAAGCACAAAAAGATCCTAGCACTAGCCTTTGATTAGTGGAAGCTGGACTAATTCAGGTTCGTTTTCAGCATGATAGCGACTGCTATTGACAATTCTTCTGAATGAATAGCAATTTATCAAATGAAATTGATGTAATGTAGCGTGCGTTAGACCTCCTTCTGCTTGTTCCTCTTTTGCTAAATGGATCGATTTTGTCCACAAACTGATTTGCAGTCGCTGAAAGTTGCTGGCCTCCGGTTGCAGCTCCCTGCAACAACCATCATCATGAAAATTTCAAAATATGGTACAATGTATGAAACTACCATTTTATGTGTAATAATCTATGCACTGTCGATCCTAGCACACATCTGTCTGTTTTTAACTTGAGATCCCAAAGATTCAAAAACATCCTTTACTTTTCCCGATCAGATCAACACTATTCAACAAGAATTTTGACAATAGATTATAACTGTCGTATGTGTAGCTGAGGAAAACGGCAAAATCAGAATGGCGAAATCAAAAGAGCACTTTACGATTACATGAAAAAAAAAACACCAAAGTGCTTTCCAAGCTTATAGATGTATACATCATATAAGCTAACACAGCTCTGTACGATTACAATTACATGACCGAATAGAAGAAGCACGCACAATTGCAGTAAGTCTGTCTATCCCAATCTGTCTAGTGCAAATAGTACGTAGCTCTACAATTAATTTAGTAGACTGCTCAAGCAAACTATCGAGATTTCAGCAGGGTGGCTTGTATAGTCGATAGAAAAATAAAGAAATGTCAAGAACATATGACATAGAAAACGTATAGCAGAATTACGAAACATGTTTTGCCGCATGATACGGTCGTGCAGTAACATGAGAAAAGACCATGGCATAGCATAAAGTAATTTAAAATGTAAATTTATCAACTCAAGTTTGCGTAAACACAAAGCCACATTAATGATAATGCTAGTAATAACGACAAACTGGAACCACATACCTGCGTCTTGGGACCTGGAACCTGGTGAGGCGTTCCACCCAACAAGCTATGATGACCGCTTCCGGCTGACATCAGTAAAGTTGATCAAAAGTGGCCGAGAAGCGGATGATAGGCTCTGCTGTTCAAGGAGATGGCGCGACGGCACAACTCGACGCCTCTGTGCCTTAATGATAGTTCAGAATCGTATAGGACAATGCTAAGGAAAGCGGAAGAGATAAGCGAGCATTTCCTCAAATGTTCGTGCAGACTGCATCTCTCAACTGACAGTCTGTGCATAAGTGCATCTGCAAGAGCTGCGGATCAATAGACTGTTGTAAATCAATAGCCTATTTCTTTCACAACAGTAGTTGCCGCCATCATCTTTTTTTGTGAATAATGGAAGTTTCAAACATTGACGGAAGGGCAGAATGGAACATCAATCGCCTTTCAATTTTTATTATTCCCTTGAGCAAAGCTAATGTGACTCAAGAGACCAAGGCCTGTTACGAGTGGAACTCTTGTGAAACGTGAGTAGGTATACTATGATATTTGTAGCGAAACTGAAACCCGATAAAACGAACGAATATCGATTTTTACAATGCGCGTTGCGAATTAACTGCATGAGATCAGCGGTTCTCAGCCTTTAGGAGTCCACTAGTTTTGAAGACCATAATCCAAAATCAATATTGCGATTGATGCTGCTAGAGTAAATAGTCACAAGTCAGAAATATGGGGCACAGAGAACAACCCCCTTGTGAGGCTACAAAAACTGAGAAGAAAGATATTTTTGGTGGCATATATTAATAGTTCGTGATTGCACAGAGATTGTCACCAGCACAACATCACGCTGTAAGAAAAATTACAATAAGCCCGATGAACACGCACGTCGTGTGCATGCACCCGACGGAGCACGTTGATGTTAACGCTCATCATTTACAACGGCATCGAAGATTCATTAAAGGATCGACACCCACAAGAGAAAAAGCAGATATCAAAAGGTTCACTCCCTTGCTGCCTGCGTAAACCCCTGCATGAATGGTCATCGCAGTCTACAGAATCCATGGAAATAAGGAAAGGCAAAAGTTTAATCGAGAACATTGCAAGAATACATTGGAGCATCACTAAGACTTGATGTAAGACCTGCCCCCAAAAATAAAAGTACCCTTTACCCATGTCATCTAATCGCACCAACAAGACGCTCAGCATTTCTTAGTGCAATGACACGAAAAGAAAACGAGAAAATGGAAAGATTTGAGAAATCTGTACTCTCAACCAATCGTGATATAGCTCTGAACAATTCAATCAGAATATCGCGCTCCGTTTGCAATTCTTCTGCGTCTCTGATTATGAGATAAACTGCGACTCACCGGAACGCACACTCTCTTCAAGGATTCTTTCTCTGACTATCGCCGCCTACGCGCGACCATTGCGATTCGAGCGCTGGCTCGAAAAGGCCCTGGGATTCGTTTTTTTCTTTTCGTTAAGCTGTTTTGTCCAGTCTTCCTTTTTCTCTTCTGCTGGTTTTGCTGACCCACTGGCTTGTTCCGTTTTTTTCTTTGTTGGAGGGGAGACTGGAGTCGCATTACCGGTCTACTTCGTAGTCCCGAAACCGGAATGCACAAAAAACTGATATTTTTAGTCACATTAGTTATTTTTATCATTATGCATGCTTTGTATCATTTGTTATATGGATTTCTTTTATTATTATCTTTTTGAGTTGCCAAAATCATTGGTTCTAACATTCTCCTTGATGATACTTTTGCCAGGGCTTCTTCTAACGCTAATGAATTTTATTTGGAATATTATGAAACTCCTCATGAGGAGCTTCCCTTTGAATGCCGTTTTTGATATCCTGCAAAAGTTCCTATATTGTGCTTCACGTGCCTTTGATTGCCTAAATATACAGGTATTATTAATACCAAATCTGCAGGAAGCAGCTACGTCTTCAGTTTGATTTTTATTGTTTTTACCTTTATTATACTCGCCGTTATCAAAGATTATGTAATTCTATGCTATATATGTCTTAAGCACTTCTGTCACCCATTTTTTTCTCACGAACAGCATTAGTAAGTATCAACCCACTTTCACACCTCGGCTGAAGTCCTGCTTACCTAACGTCATGCTTACGTTTGAATGTGGTGTAACGTACATCTTCTATATTCTTTTAGATGACAACAGCACATCGGCCCACTTTCCACCCTGCCCGCGGTGGCACGGGCAGGACTGAGGGAGATCTCTCGAAGTTGTCGCAGCAGTATTCTTCGAAAGATATGCCTTCGCACACCAAGTTAAAATACAGACAGACGGGTCAAGGAACTGAGGAGGAGCTCAGAAGAAAAGTGGGTAGCTTGTTTGTTTCAGTGCTTTTGTATCATATGTTTTTGCCTAGGATTTGCGACGAGAGCTGGAAGAGAAAGAGAAGATGGTTTCACGCGAACGGCGCAGTCGTGATTCCGGTGCCTCAGCGTCGAGCAGTAAAAGAGCGAGGCTTGAAGAGATTACTCATGCTGGAGTCGATGCTGATGAGCCTCTCGATGAGGTAATTTTCATAATTAAGAACAGAAAAATTTTAAGTGGCAGTTGAAATTCCCCTCTTGTTGTATTTCATAATGTGTCAAATTTCATAATGTGTCAAGTTGTGAGCCGTTTGCGGCAAGCCTTCCATCTAATCTTCATTTCAAGCCCGATTCTTCGGATGACGATTCCGATGAAGATGACACTGCAGCACTGATGGCCGAGCTGGAAAGGATCAAGAAAGAACGTGCAGCGGAGAAAGCTGCGAGAGAAGAAGAGGAGCGGAAACAGGAGGTAATGTTTTGGCAGTACTATAATTTTCTTTGAGATCTTTGACTTGCATTTTTCGATATATTTTTTGAGCGTATCTCGTGATGTAGTCGAAGTGGATCGTTGAGGGTTTTTGTGTACCTCTTCAGTGTCAGGCACTATCCACGATTCTATACTTTTTTCTTCCATTTTAAGGAGAAGATCCGCATGGAAAATATTCTGGCTGGAAATCCCTTGTTGAACCTGAATGAGCCTAGCTCCTCATCAGCGAATGGAGGCGATTTCAAAGTTAAGCGAAGATGGGATGATGATGTCGTTTTCAAGAACTGTGCTAAAGGTAAACTTATCGTTCAACTTCTAGTCACTAAGGGAGATTAGTTACAATTACATTTTCTGCAATTCTTTCTTGTAGGTATTGATGAGAGAAAGAAAGAATCTACATTTATTAACGACGCAATTCGTTCGGAGTTTCATCGGAAGTTCATGGATAAATACATAAAATAGTTTCTTATGCATTTCTGTGTTGATCACTCCCCGTTTGATCTTTTCCATTGTTCATGTTATTCTCATGGGTTCTATGAAATAATTATTGCACATGAATCTTCAACTTTTTGTTTTATTATCTGGTTGGAGAGGATCGCCTCTAGTATTTTTGTTTGATGCATTGACTGCTATCTTGATCGCAATATTTTCATATATTCTCTCTTTACTTTTAAGCATGAATGGGGCAAAAGCTGCTACTGCTGAGGACGTTGAGCGAACTGCTACACGTATGGATGATGTGAAAATGAATGAGCGCATTGTTGTATGGCGAGTAGTCAACGGAGAGCGGAGAAGAGTTAGTCTCATTTCAATTTTCGTCTTGATCCTAGCTTCAGCACCTGCAGGTCCTTGCTACTTTGCTAAAGAAGAGAACTCGTGAGTCGAAACATGAGTTTGGTGAAACGAATGGCGAGAAAAGCGATCATGAAACAAATACTGCTCCGAATGAGGTAATCGAGATCGAAAACGATGTTGGAGTTCAAAAAGGTTTTTCGTAGACCAACAACATGAAGGACGAAAGTTTGGAGTATTTTGTGCATTTCGATGGTCAAGATCGGAGGCTTGACCAGTGGATCAGTGGAGACCAGTAAGCCGGATTTTACTAGCTTATTTTGCATGGCTAGATTCTCAAAACTAGAAAAATCTCAATATTTATTGCAAACTCTTTCTAGTTGTGATTAGTGGTTTCAAGGCTTTTGTATCGAAATAGGTTTTGCAAAGCTGGGCTTTCATCTCATTACCAGGTTTCCCAGATTATCGTCTGGGTAAATGGGCGAAGTAACCAGATCTAGTTGACATCCATCGTTCCTAAAGAAATGTGTTTGAATAATTATATGGGCTTGTAAACGAATGCGTTGAGTGGAAGCTTCGGAGCAGAGAAATTTAGTTTTTGCGGATTTGATTTGAGATTAGGAGGGGATAATAACCATCTTTTATGTACAGCTAATAAAGTCTGTTGTATTTGCAATGCCTGATTCATTTTATGTGGCGTTAGCTTCTGCCAAATTGCTATTTTCAGATTTATCGAGATGGCCCCGAAACAAACCAGCAGCGATCTTGGCAAGTTTTCAAGAAATTGATTATTCATTCTCTCAACAAAGATCTGGATTGATTTCAACCTCTATATGCTCTTTGCAGCAGCGACTAATGCACCTACCGGTGATACTCGCTTGACAAGAAAACGAAGGAAAAATGATAATGAGGAGTTAGTCTCACTCGACGATTCGGTGCGAGGAGATCACCATAGAAAAGTACTGTTTATATAATCCTTCCTGCAGATGCTGTACTTGATTCTGTTCCAGGCACCACCAGAGAAAAACGTAGAAAGGATAGTATTTGGGTGCTACGAAATTCAATGTTGGTATTATTCCCCTTATCGGTTGAAGAAGAAAGCCGTAAAACGGTTGTATGTTTGCGAAAATTGCCTTCTTTACACTGATGACGTGGAAATGTACAGATGTCATTTGGTTTGTCACGTGGAGAAGCTATACCATATTCGTTTTTCATGTTTTCATTTGCAGGCAAAAGATTGTGAGCGAGCGAACCCGCCCGGCGAATTGATCTACGAAGAAGGCGACATCCAGATATATGAAGTTTTTGGTGCTTTGCAGCAGGTCTGTTTGCGCTGTAATTTTTGAGAAGAGAGTGCTATGACGAATGATATGCAAAATTCGTTTCTCAGTCTGTCGGACTTGTCGGGACGCAGCTAAGCTCCGCCTGCTGCTCTCCCGTGAGCTGGCCGAGAAGGTCAGATAGGAGCCAGTGACCCCCGACGACCGTGCACCGTAAGGCTGCTTCTGCAGTCTCTCCCCCCTTTCCCCCTTATTGTAATATAACATGTAAATAATAAATATATATAATACCAACCTGTACCGCTACACATCAGGTAAGGGAATCGCGAACCCTTAATCCTGACATGGAGGTCCCGGGGAGATTTGAACTCCCGTCGCAGGATTCAGAGTCCTGAGTGCTAACCGCTACACCACGGGACCTCCATGTCAGGATTAAGGGTTCGCGATTCCCTTACCTGATGTGTAGCGGTACAGGTTGGTATTATATATATTTATTATTTACATGTTATATTACAATAAGGGGGAAAGGGGGGAGAGACTGCAGAAGCAGCCTTACGGTGCACGGTCGTCGGGGGTCACTGGCTCCTATCTGACCTTCTCGGCCAGCTCACGGGAGAGCAGCAGGCGGAGCTTAGCTGCGTCCCGACATGTCAGGATTAAGGGTTCGCGATTCCCTTACCTGATGTGTAGCGGTACAGGTTGGTATTATATATATTTATTATTTACATGTTATATTACAATAAGGGGGAAAGGGGGGAGAGACTGCAGAAGCAGCCTTACGGTGCACGGTCGTCGGGGGTCACTGGCTCCTATCTGACCTTCTCGGCCAGCTCACGGGAGAGCAGCAGGCGGAGCTTAGCTGCGTCCCGACATCTCCATTCCTTCAGAAAGCTCGTCCTCGAGCTTGTTCGGCTGTTGTTGAATGTCTTCCGAGTTACGTGTGTAAAGGGTACACGTGTTACGGCGAGACCATTCTCCCGTGAGCTGGCCGAGAAGGTCAGATAGGAGCCAGTGACCCCCGACGACCGTGCACCGTAAGGCTGCTTCTGCAGTCTCTCCCCCCTTTCCCCCTTATTGTAATATAACATGTAAATAATAAATATATATAATACCAACCTGTACCGCTACACATCAGGTAAGGGAATCGCGAACCCTTAATCCTGACAGACTCTATGTTTTTTTTGCACTTGAATGTTTGTTTAGCGTTCACCTCGATCTTTCAGTTCTACTGTCAACGACTTTGTCTTCTTGCCAAGCTTTTTATCGATCATAAAACGTTATGTTTCGACGTGGAAAATTTCATCTTTTATCTGCTTTGCGAAGTTTGTCGTGTCAATTACTATCTGCTTGTAATACCAACTTCAAATACTGTTTTTTAGACTGATAAGGATGGAGCCCACATTGCAGCAATGTTTTCGAAGGAAATGCACTCTTCCAACAACCTGGCATGTATCATGACACTGCCTTGTTACCAGAGGAAGGGTTATGGAAATCTTTTGATACAACTCAGTATGTTATCGAATTTGTGATGTAATGTGAACTACTTCTGAGCTGTTCCTGTCTAGGTTACGAGATGTCAAAGAGAGCAAAGTATCCTGGAACACCAGAGCGACCATTTTCGGATCTCGGTGAAATCTCCTACAAGAAATACTGGCTTTTTGTCTTACTGGAATTTTTTGATTCAGCAGTCATGAGAAAGGTTGGAAGACTTTCTTTTACTTTCTGAATTTTCAGTTTTGACTCAGTCTAGAGGATTTAGGTAGAGGATGTTACTGTTGACGATCTTGAAGCATTGGTTGGCATTAATAAAGACGACATCAAAGACACCATGGAGCCCATTGGACTGCTTTCTCATCTCAAAGGTTTGGTCAGCTGTTGCACTTTCATCGCCCTTTATCAGGTTGTTTCTAAATTTTTAAGGAGGAACATACATTGTCCACAACCCAAAGCTGGATCAGGAAAATGGTGTGGAAAGGCCCAACCCGCCTCTGAGACGTCTTGATCCAAAGTATCTCAACTGGAGCGCGAAGAGTTTTGATAGGCCAAAGCGGCGGATTTGAGCTACGCTGCCAAAATGTCCTCAGCGTGAAATCGATGATTGTTGCTTTTGTCGTATTCATGTGATTCACGTCAATTTCACATCTGGATTTGACAGTGAATTATACAATTTTCTGTTGGCTGTATCTGTAATTTTAGATCATGTATGATCTCTTGTTCATAATTCACGTTTTTCAAGCACCCGGTAGTGCACCGTTATCCATTGCTTGTTAGATTCTCTTTGTCAGTTAGTTTTACATTGATCCTGCTATGTCTTGTCACACACTATAAATCTGCTATTAACGGCTTAGAGAAAGATTTGCCTAAGCTTTTCAAAGTTTTGTGAATCTAATCTTACTAGGTTTCTATTATGCGGGTATTTTCATTATTTTCTGTTCGCTTGTTATCTTGTTACTCTCTTTGTTACAAATTGAGTAAATCTTCTCATATCGCATGCATTTCGAAATATCTTATCAAATTGTCATTCAAGCGCGCGATTCTGTGTTCTCACAAAGACCCAGAAGTTTTGAAGGTTTTTGTTTCTCTATCATAGTTCAGAACGGAATGGACATGGAGCGAGTACTCACTTGCGGTATCAGCTGGCACTAAAATTCTAGGCATTACCTATCCATAATAGCACAAAGTCCTCATGCAAAGCGGCGACTAGCTCGATTTTGTTTGCTGGTATTCCGAACGGTAGAGTGGTATGCCTGGAGTTAACTGTAATAATAAGTGCTCAAGTCCTGCTATAAAAGGTGAATTCTGGAAGAAAATTGCGCTAGAAAGTAGATATGCTGAAACTTTAACCAGTAGGGGATCTCTGGATGTATTGATTCTGAAGTCCTAGCACTTTTAGGCTTTTGTGATTTTTGATCATATTTTTTTTCTTCTCAACAGTTCACTGGAAGAAGCTTCTTGATTATATTTTATCAGAGTTGTATTCTTCAGAAGGCTAGTTGTTATTCAGGCTCTCTAAAGGTTTTTCTGGAAAGCTTTCCAGAATTTTTGCAAGCTTAAACTCAAGGCCTCTACTCTCGAAAACGATTTAACAACTTCATTTTAGCAAGGCTAATTCGTATTAATGAGCTTTTAGAAGCTTGCATAGTTTTCTGCAGGTGGAAAGAGACTAGTTGCATAAAAGCATGACTCATCTGAAGCACTTCCGAAAACCTCGGATTTTTCGCTTTACCCTCTTCAAAACATATTTAGATATAATGAGAGATATTTTTTAGGCCCTGAAAGTCAACAGAAGCTTCCGCGACGTTCAAGCAGCAGTAGTCAGAGATTTTCTCCGTTTTTGACAGTATTTCGTCTCACTAACAAACAATTTTTATCATATATGTGACTCATGTGTAGGAATATTCATGAAATGCGTCTTACGGTGATTATTTTTACGTCGTGATTTCTATTCTTGCATAATTATAAAAAATAGTTTTTCCAAATTTTGCATAGTCAGAAGAAGTCGCTACGCTTTTATCTTAGGAATCTCATACGATGCGCTTTCCCACTGGAATAAAATAAAATTTCTTAACTGGTACTCAAGGGTATAATCTGAAAACTACAGCTTTATCAAGAAAGAAACGTAAGGGTGGAAAATCGTTCTGCAAATATTTGAGCCTACGAGACAAGCCTTGGAGAAGAGTTTGATTACGGTAAAAACCTATGTGGTACAGTTTATAATGGTCTACTCTCCCCACTCACCCCTTCCCCTTACCTTGACAAGAAAAAAAACCCAAACGACTGTTTTCTTAACGCGCTTGACGTTATTTATGTTTTTGCTGCGCATCATGGACAAAATCGGTATCGTTTACGCAGTACAAATATCAAAGGCTGTCATTCATAATCGTAAAAAATTACGTCGCATTACTGAACTTTTCTGCGCATGGTTTTTTGAGTTTTGCAAGCTGTCCATTGAGATCAGTCACTGATCCGAACACAAAAGGTTTCAGCGTAATTTAATCAGATGTTTCTGACACAAATTCAACTTTTTCTGATCAACTGTGAGCCGCTTCTATAATTTGCAATGATTTATAGAGACAGGATGCAAAAAAAACATTGCTGTAGTCTTATTTATAGATATGCGTTAATGATAGCAAGTTTGTTCGGAAAGCTGGGAATGCCTAATATGCTCATATTCATTTTGTATTCATGTGTTATGACCGAAAGAATATTTTATTGTAACAATGAGAATATCGTGCACTTTCGTTCCATTGAAAATGTCCTTATCGTACTAAAGTTAATTAGTATAAGGGAGGGAATTAAGTAGTAAAACTTGTACACAAGGGAAGGGATTTTCAATACGTTTTTTTCTTCCAGAAAAAATTCATGATTAGATACAAAGTAAAGAAACTAAAGTGTCATGTTCAAATCTAGATCTAGAAGTTGCTGACTATGTTTTTGCTAAGAAACGAAAAGATTTCATTGCGCATGAAGTCTCCCTCATTCCTGAACTTGGTTAAAGTAAAATTGCAGTTAGTGTCCGTCACTGTACTGGACTTTCGAAAAAAAACTTTGTTTCGTTCAAACGGCGTTTCATTCTGGAAATTGGGAAATTTGCAGTAATCGCATGTATAAATTCCGAAATTGTTCCAGGTAGGTGCATTATTCACACTTATTTTGCTCATTATTGAAAAATATCGAGACGCTCTGTCTAGATTCATCACAATGAATAGGAACTAGTTTGTCCAATTGTTAGGGCTTTTTCATACAATAATGGATTGATTGCATCTTCTAAATCTTGACGTTTTCATCAAAGAATCTATGAAAAAAAAACGAATTAAAGTCCTTTTTCAACACATTTTGGAAGCTGCACATTTTTTTGGCAATCTCATATTTTTTTTATATGCGGCGATGGCAACAGTCTTATCTCTGTCATTGAGACTATGAATACTAGATGAGAAAAGCTTATTGTTATAGTTTTCGTAACCATTTTAGTGGCTCCCAAAAGCTCTGTGGAACTTCTCAGTCACCTTGTAGCCTTTCTCACCGTTTCATTCCTTCATATTATAACTGTGAATAAAAACTATAAGTGCTACAAAATGTACCTCAATTTTTCTTACGAACATTCTTTTTAGAGAGACCTATGGCAGCAGTTTTGCGAATAAGGCAAGGCATACAGTTTTTGTCCCATTGACAGTTTAGATGTAACTCTTGAATAAATGCCTTCGTTTGAAAGTGTAGCATACTTCAAATCCCATTGTTCCAGTAAACATTTGTGACCTTATAATTATCAAGATAGGGAATAGCAAGACTAAATTCACATCTTAATGTGGCTAGAGACTAGTAGATTTTCTCGGTGAAAGGTTTGGTAATGACGTGATAAAACGTTTGCTACGTCTTGAAAAGCGGATGCAACATTTATGTAGAACAGTAGAAAATGTAGAAGTTTTATTCAACAGGAGTAAATACTAGAGCCTGATTAGTGGTATATGAAGTTTTGGGATATAGTAGCACCCAGACTTGCGCAATTTTCCAGTTCTAGCATGTGAAAGTAACTGGTAATCGTTACCACAATCAAATAGAATTTGCACTCGCATTGCTGGAGCTGTTAAGTTATGTTCTTTGAAGTCGCGTTTTGAAGATCTTCTCTCTCTCTCTGGGATTTCGAAATGAGTAGCTTTCATTACTGAAAGGTATTTAGGCGGTTTCCTCCCAAGTTTAGATAGTCTTCGAATTTAATCGCAATCAACCGCACGCTGAGCTTTTTACTACATTTCATTTGCTTAGATGTAAATCTTCTCATGTAACAAATGTGTCGTTCTTTAGTTTGTCGCTACTTCGATCTACCACTTCAACCTGAACTCTCACAAAAGTGCAACGATCACGACAGCGATCATTTTAGAATGTAATGCTATAAAATGCACTTTGAGAGCTCACGACCCGTCACGACTTGAACTGATATATGGAAAAAAATTGAAACAGCCAGGAATACTTACAATTCGTAATACGAGCCTTTTCGTAATTAAATATGACCATAACTACCGTGCTATCTGCAGTGCTTTGTCGCTCATCAAAACTTCTCCTTATTAAGTCTTTCTACCCTAAGTTAAGTCGCTATAGAGCAAATCGTCGCGTTATGCAACATTTTTAGATTTGGAGAAAAAAAAAGATTTCCGCGTTAACAGCCCAAGAAGTACATGTTTCCTATTGACGAGTACCATCCAATGTTACTAAAGCAGACAGGGACGATTGCGAATTTTGAAGTAATTGCCAACTTGGTACAGAATGTCAAACTTCATGCTTGGATAGAGCCTGAGCTAGCTTCGTAATTGCCAACTTGGTATAAGCAGAATGTCACTTCATGCTTGGATAGAGCCTGAGCTATAAATAAATAAAAAAACATAAAATCCAAATTACTGAAGTAGCTTGGATTAGCGGATCTTGGAAAAATTACATTGCTCACAAAAGTCATTTTATACCTCCATTTGTAGTCTTGTCATTTACTTGTGTGTCTAGATATGTATTGCCTTCATATTGTTAACAAACCCCTCATTTTTGTTCCTGTTTGCTTTTCTTGCTCATTTTACTCACTATCAAAATTTATTCAGTAAATGGTGGAGGGGTATTTTGAGGTTTCTTTGCAAAAAAAACCTTTCTTTCAAAATATGTTGGTTGTGATTGATGCTTCTCGAACAACATGTCCTGCCCTTCAGTGAAGAAAGATGTTATTATTGTGATTTTAGTGGCAGTCACTATCAGAATCTACCAGTTTTCTGCAGCTATTCCACATTCTCGTCTTCATTGCATACCTGCTACCCCTTCAATTCCGCCATTTGTAACGAAGGCCCTGAATACCGTGTTGTCCAAAAAAGCAGCTGACTTAGCATTTCTTGATTCAAACTAGCAGCTCGTCTATAGAATGTCACATCACATCCCAAAAGATGGTTCAGATTCGAATCAAAGTGAGGAAATAATAGCCTTGTCAAACCAGCTATAACCCTATCAACGATCAGCTATCAAGGCAGATAAATTGCTGTCTTCTAAGTGCTGCGAGAATGTGGAGCGAAGTCTTAAATACGCATAAATTTGCATCTATCTCGGGGACTTCCCCACATCTATCTAGAGGCCATTGCTACCCTCTGTTGCAAACGTCATCTCTTCTGCTTTTTGTTTGGACCAATTCTTAGATTCTGAGATACTGGATCCATGACGGTATAGAACTTCATAGCCTCTTCATGTTGGCTTAGTCATCTTAGAATCACACTACCAATCAAAGAGCGTTTAGTTACTGCATTTAGTTACTCGTATTTTTAACACTTTCCTTTTATGTTATGCTATATCACAGTAAGAGCAGCACGTTTTAAAACATTTCGCTAAGAATCATTCATAAGGTTAGTGACAAATGCCTCGTTTTCAACGTTTTCTAGACTAATTTCGACGAATTTAGACGAGTTTCGCTGCGTTTCGTTTGATCAGCCAGAGTCAAGCACGTGAACGCTACACAGCTAATGTACGAGATAACAACCTCTACATATTGCAAAACCCGAATTTTCGAAATTACTCAGAATGAGACGAAGGCTCCAATTTGTTGCTCTCTGTAGCCGCAACTTAAGTAATTCTTGCCAGTTTTTATGGTATCAGGTTGATGCAAAAATAATGGCTGTTTTTCCAAGCCTTTTTCAGGACGACTTTTTCATCATACTTACTTCTTTGAAATAACCACGGCATACTATTGAGAAGATCTTTTTATGCTCTATCTATGTATGGTTGAAGCAGATTACCAATACCATTTTCTAAAAAGTCACAGAGCTTTGAATAACCTCATCCAAAATCAGAACTTCGTAGCATTCACTTTTTTGGCCAGTATTCGAGCTCGAATGAGGGCGCTTCTCCGAAAATTTAGCTGTTGTACGTAAAAGAAATTATCTACATCATGAATACTTTAGCGTTTTCTCAGAAATTATCTACACCGAGATATCGGCGCCTTAACACTGTTGGTCGTTTGGTCGTTCCACGGCCCATAAATTTCTTCTGAAAAAGCCTCGCCAAAGCTTTGCTCATTTCTGTAAGCGTAAGAGTAGGAGATCCTGTTACGGTTTTTGCAAGAACTTTCATCTGTTCGGTAAGCGGAAATTTGAAAATTCCATAATTTGGGATTTTGAGACCTAATGAAAAATTTTGAGAAACCGACAATTTGAATTTTGATTTTTCCCTATTCTTCAAATTTCCTTTGTCCAGGCCTTCTCCACCTCTTTCTGTCCTACTGGTTTGCGGCTACAAGATAGGCAACTCATCATATACACTAACAAACTTTGAAGGGAGTTATGGTTAGTCAAAAACAAGGTACCAGAAAAAAATCGTTTTTATTTTTCAATCCATATCTTTCTGCTCGTTTGTGCTGTGAGTACAGCTCAATGTGCTCTTTATTGCAAAAGGTTTGCTGCTTCTAATAGTCTTTACCGCACTCAGGAATATGGATTTTTTGGAAAGTTGTAGCACGTCAAAGTGAGAATTTGCAAAATGGCCATTATTTTTCTGGCATCAATGGCATCAATATGATTCTATGTCATTTCCCACTATTTCGGTCACGCCTGTAATTCTAACGCCACCTTTGCTGCAGTGCAAAATTAAGTAGTTTATTGAAGGAGGATATGGAACAACTTTGCTCGTTCACAATTTCTCTGCAGGCGCTTTCTAACCATGTTCTACATAGTTTACCTAAACCATTATCTGTTGAAATCTTCAAGAACTTCAAGATTATAAAGTAAAACGTTTTTATACATCTAAGACAGGGGCTACAAGCAAAATCATGGTATTAGAATAGAGCACAAGCTTTCCATGTGTATGAGCACGGGAGAACGATCTCTCTGCTAGCGTGAACTGCTTGTAAAACAGCTGTGTAAAAACCTTATCTGAAGTGATATAAACGCGTTATCGCAACGAAGTGTCAAATTAGTGCAAATGTTCCTTTCGCCAGATTTGAATCAAATATGTAAAACTAGCGTCTTCTCGACTGCTTAGAATTGTTTGCATCCAAAAAACTTTTTTTCTGTTTTCTCTTTCACAGGGCCCCATTCAGCCGCACTATCGCATCACTAACAGTCTTCAATCTTATTCTCTGTTGAGATTTGGTGATATTAGACATAGTAGCATCAATCCAAGAATAGATACATTCAATGGCTGAAACCTGTCCTTTATATTTGCCCCAAGAACGCTCCCTAAACGCGTTTAAAATGCCACCATACGGTAACTTAAAGGCAGTGTCCCGGCAGATTTTGCACCTCCACCTTTTTGCATGTTTTAGGCCTTTTCGCCACGTAGAATCCGAATTTGAGCTTTGAACGGGCTGAAAAGGCCGATTTTGGGGCGTTTTCCTAATTCCAGAAAAGCAGCTTGGACGAGATTTCTGATGGATTGTTGGGGGGGGGGTCCTCAGAAGAAGATCCTGCCGCCTGTAATTCTTGCTTTGGATAGCATGCATCATGGGGAAGCGCGCTCGTGGGGTCCCGCGCCGAACAGGCGGGGAAGGCCGTCCAAGCGCGCGCCAGTTGGGGTTGCGCGCGCCGGTTCAAGGGCCATTTTCTCGGCCCAGGGGGAACATCACCCAGCCGAAGTGCGCATGGAGGGCGATGGGGTGACCAGGAACCCCACCACACGTATATCCCCCAGGACTCGATCTGCCGGGACACTGCCCTTAAAGGCAGCGCCCAGGCAGATCTGGACCTATGGGGCCTTTACGTGGAAAGTACTTTTGGGGCCCTAACTAAGGCACTGCCCAAGCGGCAGCTCAGGTAGTGCTGTAATGGCTGAGATATTCCCCTCGAAGCTGGACCCCGCGACCGTGTTTCGCATGGATTCATGGCGCAAAGCGTGTGTCTTGGCGCGAAACTGCCATGAATCCATGCGAATACGTTCGCGGGGGCCAGTTTCGAGGGGAATTTCTCAGCCATTAGAGCACTACCTGAGCTGCCGCTTGGGCAGTGCCTTAGTTAGGGCCCCAAAAGTACTTTTCACGTAAAAGCTCCGTAGGTCCAGATCTGCCTGGACGCTGCCTTTAACACGTTTCGGACCGGTGCTGCACATGGTGCAGCACGCGGCTTTGAAGGCTCTTTTTAACGTGTACAGGAGGTTTTCTTTTTGTCCAAGGTTATCAAGTCAAAGGCCTAAGCTCCTTCTTTTCAAATGACTTTGTAGAGCTGTGCCGCGTATATTTGTTCAGGAGATATGAGGACAAATCCAACAACAGTTGCAACGAAGTGCGGCAACGCGAACGACGCGTGCAACGTCGCAACTTTACTTCGATTCCAAAGAGAAAAACCGTAGCTTCAATAATGATGTGTACGGTGTACAACATAGATACTTTTGAATACTATTTGGAACTGAGTTCTTACTCCTATCTTCCAAGAAAACACAAAAAGTCCCTCCCAAGCGACAAAATTCAAACATTTCAAATTGACTCAGAACTTTGGGTATGGAGCACAAATGTGGCCCACAGACTGCGAATTAAGCTCTTTTTGTATGCTAACGGCTGAAAGTACACTCTTTTTTGCCGCGCGCGATTTCGCGGTTCGAAACGTGTTAAACAACATTCTTGGGAAGATTCACGTCACAAAATTTGGTCCCAGTGCCTAGTCTAATCCTTTTGTATGTTCGTACTTGCTTGCCTCACAACAGTGTAAAATTTGGAAATTTTTAATCTGCAGATGAGTTTTTGAGAGACTAAAGGCATTTTCTAATTTATCGCAGTAGCCAAAAAATTTTGGAGTTTTTCTGTTTGTTGATCTTTCGGTCCTTGATCGTGGCGTGTTTGTTATGTCGATCTTTGCTTAACACACATGGGTTTGTTTTATTTTTGGCCCCACCAAACATGGGCGTCATTCACGTTGGACTTTTACGATGGATAAGCTGTGCATGTTTATCCGAGAGTCCAACTAAAGCACGAAATTTTCAATATGCAGTGTCTACTCACCTTGACAACCGAAGTAAACACTCGTCGTTTGCTATTTTAAATTTTTATGAAATCTGAACTTCACATTTCACGCCATCTTTCTCTTAAAAGGCATTACATATTCGATGAGCTCTTTTTGACATTGCTTAAATTATTTTCTTATGCGCTTCTATTGAAACTATTCTGCTCTGTCCTCAGTTGCTTTCTCACAATTTCCTTCTCACATAAAGATCATAGAAAAAACGCGTCTTGACGCTTAAAACTCTAGCTATCTTCGGACTCCTCAATCAGCCTTATAATACCTTACGAAGTCTCGTTTTTTTCAATTTCCTATTAAACTGAGCACTCATGAGTAGAGGAAAGCAAGTTCAACGAGATAGGTACCATTTCGTCTTTTTTTTTTTGCACAAATTATGATTGGTATCGTGTATTGATATGAACAAGCAGATCTAAGTTTTCTAAACCAGTATATCAATTATAAGTCCATAAATGAAGATCATTATGTTGGTTTTCGAGGCTACTATATGTAGTTAGCTCCCTCGTTCATTTACTTTTTTTCCTACACCGTTCCGAATCGAATATTTCACACTTTCTGCTATTTTGTTCCTGACAAGGGGGGAGGGGGTACAAATGGTCGAAGTGGCCTTTTCATATGAACTTGATATGACTATAAAGACCATCGAACGTTGATTCCAAATCTGTCTTCGTTATCTGCCGAGCTCTTCTGGACGTCGAGTTACGAGCATTTTGTGAATTGAAAAATTGAAGCATAATTAGCATAAAATTTGGCAGAATTACTCAAATGGTCCAATCTTAATTATCAGAGCACTCCATGTGAATAATACCCTTTGTTCAAAAGACTCATACTTAACGGCTGCTCTATTAAAGCGCTGAAAAGACCGTAAAATTTGGTCTTACTTAGATAATGCGTCCATTTCTCGTACCAAAAAATATTCATAACTCGGAATGCAGACGCGTTCGGCAGAGGATAAAAACAGATTTAGAATCAGCGTTTAATGCTCTTCAGAGTGGTGTAAGACTCATTTGGAAAGGCCACTTCGACTAATCGGATCTCCCTTGTGAGTAATGAGTATTGTATATGTAGTAGTGAGTACTTTACGACTTATCATTGCTTATCTTGAAAATGACACTTTGAAAATGAAAAATGAACTAGCTTGCAATGGAAAAGTCTTTTCCAAATTCTCTTTAGTTTTGTTTCTTTCCGACTGTGATTCTACGACTTATTGTTACGAACATTGTCTTGATATGCACTTAACAAGTGAAAGGTGAGAACGGAAATACGTTTATGATCCCTAAGACCGTACGCCTTCTCTCCTATTCTTGTTCTTCTATTGTCATAACAAATAACAAAGTGCATACTGTCATAGCAGATATTACAACGCGTTCATATCAATTTTATGATCATGTTCACATAATAAAAAAAAAACTTAGGCGAGCGCTACATTACGCAATGATCTTTACCTCTTCTTCTTGTAGTATAAACGAAAACTGTATGAGAACGGGATGGATTACAGTGGGATGGGATTGGAGGCTACGAGTCACAAAATCTAATGAAAAATTTGTAAACTTTCAGAAGCGTTTTCATTGCATTGCGTGTTGTTTTTAACAAAGTAGAAATCTATATTCAAGAATAGAGACATAAATGTACAATAATAAACCAGTTTTCTTGGTTTTTTTGGAGATTTTTGAATCTCGAGTCTTAATAAGAATTCTCAACTTCTTTATGCTCGACCCTGGATTAAAAATGCAGTTTTTACTGCGAAATGAGGGCCAATTTTTTGCACCTAGCCTAACGAACTCTTATCGGCCTGATCTTTGCGACCCACGCTCTCCAGCAAACATTCTGGTTGCGAATCGCTGAATTATCTCATATGAATTGCATTCCTACCACAAGGTGATCTCTTGCTACAGAGTAAAAGATCATAATGTTCATCATCTATGGTCATTAAGTTATATTAGCGGAATGGCCAATAATCAACATAACCGGATTTCGGAGACTGATCGGCCTGGCGCTGCGCCATGACAAGTTCTTCAGTATGCGGAGTTATTACGGAGTTATTATGTTTCAGTCGCCGCTTATTTCATTTTCATAACGCTTATTATCGAGAACTGAATTTATAATCACATCTAATGCAGCAGCTTTTTTAGCTGGCTATGAAAAAAGTCTTTGTCTCTGCACACTCACGGAAGTTTTCGAATCTCACATCATGACAATCACCATGACACATTTCTCAATTCCCATTGGAATACTGCAAGGCTAAGCTTTAGCTTGAATTCTTGCTGTTGTTTTCTTTTCTTTATCTTGACCTTCAAATTTCGGACAAAAAATGACTGTAGAAAATCAAGCATTTCCAAGTTTTTACCTCATCTGGCGGATGGAGTGTCGTTTCCAGCACATCATGTGTTCCTCACAGCTCTCTGTGCTATTATGTTTGCACTGTGTGCTTGAAAAATGCCAAATTCTAACCAGTCAATCTCAACAAAAATTCCTCTAACCTTATGCATTCAGCTCCCCTCTCACAAATTTACAAATTGATTTTCTTCAAATCTAAAATACTGAGGCACTTATTTTGAAAGAACGAATCTTGGGGTGAGCTACAAGACCTCGCTGACATTGTGATATCTTCTCCGAGTCCTGCTCTTTCCTTAATGATTTTATCATAGATGGAACTTAACCTAGAGTTTGAATACTTCAGAAATTCAATAAACAAAAGACAAAACTAATCCTAAATAAGAATCTTTAACGCTATACTAGACATGGCAAACAATATCCTCTTTGATTCAAATGAATGCTTTCGACTTATAAATTTCCGGTTTCAAGAAAGTTATCTCTTTTCGAGAGCATTGGGATTTTGCTGTACTCTTGAGATAACGCATATATTTCACTGATCAGTCAAGCGTAGGTGGCAATGCGAAGTAAGAACAAATATCTGATAAAAGTGTAAAATTTGTCAGAGTCACATAAATTCGTGACAACGACGATTGCGGTCTTTGCACCCGCCCAAACGTCACAAGAGAGTAGAGCACTTAATTAGGCACCACTTTGGTGCTCAGCTCAAACACTTACATCATCTAATGGATATCATATGTAAGAGAGAAAAGTTCTAGTAAAGACGAAATCCAGGAGAATCTGGTTCTGATTAGGCGCTTGCTACAAATTGATGAATTCCTTATGAGAGTGAAGAGCATTCGCAAAGAAGCGTTGCCCATGTGCTGCGCCAGCGCTGATCCAGTCTCGTGTCAGCATGGTACCGGAACCCGCGTGAATGCGCCTTACAATAATTTCGACGTTTCGGCACGGCGCTGGAACGTCGCCCGCTCGTACAACGCTGGAACTCACGCTCGTACAACGCTGGAACTCACATCCTAACTGTGCATGTTGCTTTGCAGGGAGCGCTAGTATGAAGATTTCTCATTATTTTTAACTTGGACATTCTGTGTGCTCAAATCATCTACTTCTCGCAATCTCTCGCTTTCGTTACCGTTCTCATGTTTCGGTACATATTTTTTCTTTCGATGTAGAATTAGGGTGATCAAGAAGTAATGGGACACCTCCGAATTGCTACCCCAAAGTCCCTGGACATATGACATATCTTTCAAAGAGCCTTTCCAAGCTCTTTCTAATAATACTTGGACGTGCAAAAGAAAGTTTTTGTATAAAAAAGAGGTAGTTTTTTTCGAAAAAGTGCGCTATTTGGCGCAGATTTCAGGCTAAAAATCAAGTTTCGGCCCACAAGCTTTTGAAAATGAAAAAAATCGTAGATTGCATACGCAGTAGAGCGTAAAAAGCTCTATCGTTATTGACCGTTAAAGGCGAGATTCGATTATCTTGCTGAGAGAATAAATAATATGTCCTGATACTCAAATTATATCTTCTATTGCAAAGCATTGGGACCACCATGCCATCGTGGATTTGGGATTACAACCTCACCCGTTGCGATGCAGATACATATTTTTGGTAGCCTCACTCGTTTTACTGCTGCGATATTGGTCGTCAAAGTTCGGAATACTTGAATTGGCGAGCTTTTGATTCCATTTTTTGGTTCTTGGTTTTTTTGGTTCCAATTGTAAAAATATGTTACAGTGCCCATCTATAGAACTAGATTAGAAGGTTTTTATATGTGCTAACATCACCAAAACCTTTACATCCATTGCTTTTTCGGTCTGAAAAAACTGCATTTATCTTCTTTTGTTCGATTACTTTTGGATCAGCCCAATAAAGTTATTACGTCTCTGAATTGTATTCTCTCAATCGTAATGTCCAATCAAGCAGGAAGACTTCAGAAGAGTGGAACACGTTTGTTTTACGATCCCGCTGAACAAATCAAAGCGGGCTCGCCGTTTACGGCGTTTCATAAAAATGGCCGTCTGTTTTGCTAGAACCCAATTTTTTCCTCAGTCCAGTGCCCTGTCCCTCCGATGTTAAATAGCCTATATACGCTCTAGAATACTATATACCCTAATACCCTTACTATTCATCCTATTTCTCGTTTCGCTGTTATATAGCGGTAGTTTTGCCGTACTCTTAATTGAAAAGTCCATTTTATGAGTAGAACAATTCTAACTTGACCAAAAATATTTATAATAGAAGTTTTGCATTTTGTAGAGGCTTTTCCAAAAAAAGCTAGTCACGAGAATCATATGAACCGCAGCCTTGGCAACGGCTTGGTCTTCCACCACTTTCCGCTTATCTCATCTGTAGGACAATGACTTTAGCCTTCGTGGCTTTATCATCTCCAAGTACTTCCACGGATCCTTGATATGATGTTGTAGCACGAATTCCCAGCTCCTCATTGAAGCATGTTTTGATAAACAAAGACAAGCATCTTCCCTCTAATCTGGCAATACGCGCATAGACTGTGTTTTGAAAGCATTTTGAAAATAAAAAGACTGGATTGAGCCATGAGTTATAAAAATGTGCAAGTGACTTGTTTATACTGTAATTGACTGAAATAGTTAAATTTTTTGAAAATTCATTAACCTTATAACCCTTCTTCTGAAATTTCGGGGTTATGAGCCCGCAAAAATTTTGAAGCATATCAAAAAATTTTTCGGAGTGCGCGGCTGACGCCGCGCACCTCTATAATAATATAAAAATTTTGGTTGCTCCCCCCCTCCCCCCCCCCCCCCACTGACCGCGACATATCTCCGCCGCATGCCGCCCACCACTCGTCAGCCTAACATAGCAACTTCTAACTCCAGGATCTTGCTCCTTATGCCCATGCGCACTTCCAAACGCTTCTGCTCGACGCCCTTATCCCGATACCGCACGATATGATAGGAATCACAAAGCGCGACTAGATTAGACCACATTTTAACTTACACAACTATAATACCATAAAAGAACAGCTATTACTACTAATAAGAAGAAGAAACCGTTTCGTCCCGTGCTGCCTGACCCACCATGACCATCATCTACATTCGTGTTGTTCTGGAGTTGTACAAGGTTGACCGTAAGTTTCAAGCCCTTACCGAAACGGTACGACCCCTCTTCATTACCGCTGGCGTTATCCATCAAATCACAATACTGCGCGTCTCCAACAAGAAGATAACCAAAAAGCTCAAGCTCTCGCAACTGACAAGGGAGGTCCTGTTGATCGACGAGGCCTTTACAAATGAGTCCTATACTACTTTGAAGGGCATTTAACAGAGATTCCGAAACTGATTTCATTATCTGTCAAGCTTCTCTGTATGCCGAGTTATGAATGTTTTTTTGGGTGCGAAAAATGATCGCATAATATAGGTAAAATCAAAGGTTCGGTAATTCAGCAGTATGAGTGTTTTGGACAAACGGCAATCTTCAAAACGGAGTGCTTTGATAATCAGCCTTGGACCATCCGAGCAATTCTGATAACTTTGTTCAAATTACGCATTCAATCATTCCGTCCGAAGACGCTCATAACTCGGCATCCAGAGGCGCTTGGTAAATTTGGAATCAGCGTTTGATCTCTTCAAAGTTGTATCAGTTTCATGTGAAAAGGCCACTTCGACCAAACGGACCCCTTTGTAAGATCTGCCTGCGGGTATCGGGGGCGCTGCCAGCACGACCATTTGAAAAATCGCTGAATTCGAAGAGGCATACACTGCCACTTGCGCGGTTATAGTTGTCCTCACCCCACTAGTCGGTCGGTGGACGAATTCGAATTCGAACTGGAGCAGGCAGGTCGCGGCAGAGCACGGCACCTTAGCTCTCCGTTCAAATTCACGCATTCACTTTGCGTATTTCTTCGCCATTGCTTAGCAGTTTTTGTATTGTTACAACGTTTTTGATCTATATTGAGTTTTTTTAATTGCTGAGCGTTGTCTCCTGCCACGCTCTGCCGTGACAGGCCTGCTTCAATTCAAATTTGAATTCGTCCACCGACCGACCAGTGGGGTGAGGGCGATTATACTATATCTCTTGGCCTGGGAACGCGCCCAGCAGAAGTGGGCCGGGGTGCGCTCGGTAAAGCACACGCCAAAGTTGACCCACTTGATCCTTTGATCCGTTTGATCCACTTCGTGTAAAATGCGCCGTGAATAATTCGTCATTGTCGCGTAGGTAAAAAATCGTATTCATGCGTATAACCGCTGTACGCTACACCAAATGACGAATTACTCACGGCGCGTTCTACACGAAGTAGATCAAGCGGATCAAGTGGATCAACTGTGGCGTGTATTTAAGGCGACAGCCGTGTTACGAAAACAGGCTTGCATCGCGCGAGTCGCGAAGGATCTGATCTGCGCCTTGATCTTGAAGGCACTGTCCAGGCAAATTTGGGCACATGCGTTTTTCGACAGGAAACTGATGAGAGGGTCTTAAAGGCAGCGTCCAGGCAGATCTGGACCTATGGAGGATTTTACGTGGAAAGTACTTTTTGGGGCCCTAACTGAGGCACTGCCCAAGCGGCAGCGCAGGTAGTGCTGGGTAGAGGAACGAACGCCTCAATTGGGCATCGCCTCCGCGGGCTGCTGGTCCTTTCGTCCTACTGTTGTGCATCGTGTTGGGACCAGTGGTCCGCGGAGGCGGTGCCTAATTGAGGTGTTCGTTCCTC